AGTGGAAGAGGGAGGGAGGAAGAGGGAGAGAAGTGGGGGAGGGACAGAGAGAAAGAAATATCATCGAGAAAGACAGACACATTGATTGGTTGCCTCCCACACGTGCCCCAGTGATGGAGCCCACAACTGAAGCAAATGCCCTGGTTGGAATTGAACCTGGGACACTTCAGTCCACGGGCCAGTGCTCTGACAACTGAGCCAAACCGGCTAGGGCCCTATCCAACTTTTTTCATTGTTCTTCATTGCCAAAATATTATTGAAAGGTTATTGTTAATAGCTTCAGCAACATGTTTGAATTTTAAAAGAAAATATTATCTTCTCATAATTATATATCACATAAATGGACATGTATAATTTCCTTGAACAATTTTTCTCTAAATTTCCTATTCTGCAATTAAAGTTCAAGTGCTTTGAGGCTTAGATTACTAATAGGTTGTGGGTGTTTATAAGGAATAGGAGTTCTCTATTTTATTGTTGATATGGGTACAGAAATTTATAAGTAAGGTGGAAATATTAATTTATGAAATGGAAAGTAAAGCTAAGTGAGGTTGAGTTATATTTAAACTGTCATTGAAATAGTAAACAAAGCCTTTTGGCTTCCTTCCCCTTTCTACACCGCTAAATATCACAGATTCTAGAGTGGCTAGTTCTGTGGGGACCGTTCTTTTTTTTATTTATTTTGAAAATGACTCTGTCAAATTAGTACCATCATTTAAGCTTTGGAGGTAATTGCCTGGCTTCTGCAATAAATGTTAGCAAATTTTTGGTTTTTCTCACTTTTGTGGTTTCTTTTGCCATTGTAGCTTCATAAACTGTGCTATTTATATTCAGTTACACTTAATAGAGTTCTGTCTTATTGAGGCAATGCAGGAGGGAAGGAGAGTGAATGGGGACTTATTACTCAGTGATAAATTCTGTAATGGAGTAATTGTTTAACTCTAGAAAGCACATGAAAGAAAATTGTCTCCCTTAGGATATTCTTAAACTGCAATCTGTTGTGAAAGGTATTTCTCCCAGAGGCTTGCTTAAAGCTTTGTGGCTTCTGTAATTATTCTTGCATTATGATTCCTTTCTTCCTTCAGGATAAACCCTTTTTGTAAGTTGGCCTTTATGATATTTCTTAAGTGTATAAGCTCTGAAGCTCTGAATTCCACTTGAGTTATTTTCTGTGAGATAACCGGTACTTTTTTGATGGTTGTGTGTTTTTGTTTGTTTGTTCTATACTTTAAGGAGGAAGGAGACAATTTTCATTTTGGGTGGACAGACTTGCTCAGTCTAGGAGAGACCATAAATGATTAGCAATTGATAGAATCTGAGTTGCTTAAGTCCTCTTTTAGTATTTTGGCCTTTGAGTTTTGTTTCCACAGAGAAGACTTTGCAAAGGCAGTTCTCCAGGAAAGCAGGGAAGCTTTGGGCTGTGGATACAAATATTTAAATCCTTTCATCCAGCATACGGTACATGGGAAAGTGGGGAGGGCAGACACGTGCCTTTTATATCAAACCCAAGAGCAAGAAATAGATACCCTCTAACTTTAGGTTCCAAAAACTTAGGCATCCTGTTAGGCTGTCCCTTCTGACTTAGTACTTTTTCTTGTACAAAGAGGTCTTTTTTAAAATGTCCTTTTTAGTCTGGTATTGATAGCTAGAACTGAGTTTTCATTCCAAGACAGCATAGACCAATATTCTGGTTCATTTGGATGTAAATGTTTGGGTTTTCAAATGAAAAGGTGGAATTTTGTGAGGAAGATGACAGCGCACAGTTACAGAGTAAGGAATAAAACATTTTAAGGTATCTTTTCCTAAAATGGAAGCAAGAGGACAAGTTTTAAAAGTACCTTTTGCCAGTTTGCTCGACACTGTTGTAAAGGTATGTAGAGGAAGCATGTTCATGAGCTAAAACCAGAAGTGTGTTCAGGTGCAGAGAGGTTTGGTTATGGTTGAGGAATCCTAAGCACAGCCAGTGGGTTCCAGGGCCCTCGAGGGGTGTATGCATAGGTGAGTGTGTCCTCATTGGTATCCAAAGGGTGGCTGCTGTAAGTCTGTAGGATCTGGGAAACCACCCACATCCACTGGTTATTGTTATGCTTTTTATTCTTCAGATCACTTTAAGCAAAGACTTTTGTTGTTGTGTTTTGTTTTATTTTGAAACCCTCTACTGGGGACAGGGCACAGGTATCATTTTATAGGTAGGTAATGGCTCCCTCTGAAGAGTTGGAGGCTAAGTGACATAACTTCATCAGTACTTTAAGAAGATCTGCAGCAGAATGGAGGTTTGGAGGGCAGGTAGAATTGAAAACCGGAAGATAAGAGAATAAGCTAGCACAATGGACCCTAGTTTCACCTTTTATCCTCATGGAATTTAGAAGACCATTACCAGTTTTGTAGCCACAGAATAATGGTTATATAATCAGGTGAGATAATGTCATAGTAATGTATTTTGTAAGTTGTAAATAGGCTTGTTGCTGTCGTGGTGATATCATTCTGTTCCTTTCATAGGAAGTGTTTTTTGTTTTTACTCGAAGCTGGTCTAGAAGCTGGACTGTCTGGGTTCTTCTTTGGGCTCTAAGACCATGTAACCTTGGAAAAATCACTTCTTTGTTTTCCGCATCGTAAAAAAGAGGTACAATTCTTTAAAATTATTTCACACTTATAGCCTCTAAGTTCCTAACAGTATTTACTTTGGGGGGAAGAGGTATAAGCAAAATTATTATTTTGATTCCAATCTCAAATGGCAGTCAGCTGTGTAAATCCCACTGGTATCCTTTTATCTATGTGTTGGTAATTTTGAGGATAAAATGAGACAGGATATAAGTTAAAAAAGAGTCCACTCTTCTATGATATTTAAATATTTATTTAAATTTAAAAATAATTTTCATGGCACCAATGATTTTATGCTAAATAACTACATACTGAATATGTAGAAAAAAGTACATTGCTTTGAAGGAAAATGTAACTTAGAATTTTTGGCACACGAAAGGTTAACAACTATATATTTCTTAATGAAACTAAGAAATTCACATTTGCAGGTAGTTTACCCTCTACTGCTTAAAGATGCAGTACACTATTCTTTAGTAAGAGTTTTATTTCCTCTGATATATGAAGCTATGGAAACCATTGCTTTTTCTACAATGAGATCAAACTAATTGAGAATAAATGGGAGACATAGTGGGACACAGTAAAACTAGGTTAAAAACGTGAACAATTTTTAATGATGGGGAGATATCAAAAAAATCTATTCACCAATGAAGGTTTGTTATTCAAGCACTATCTGAAAAGCAAATTGAAGGAAACTTTTCTATCTGTATTTTCTGGGATAAGCCCTGGAAAAAAATAACCTGAAAGTTTCTATTCAGAGAGAAAAATCCAGCTGTTGGAATTGGTATGGACTATTGTACTGTTAGAACTCTAGACACAAGTAACGTACCAGGAAATGGGATACTGCATCTTTCTTTAATGTGAATATGAATGGTCAGAGTCGAGGCTATCACTCACTGCATAGAAACACCATATTCTACAGACTGAGGTAGGAACACTACACTAAAAGGTAATCTGCTATGTTGCATAAAACAGTAGATATCCAGGTTAAAACTAGCCCCCTATCTCCTGACAGCCTTTTCCTCTACAAGTCTCCGTTTTTCACTTGAGTTCTGTACTACATAAAACCTTTCTTTGTGTAGGTGGCAAGTGGCAGTGGCTAGTTGATTCTAAGTGATCCCTAGTCTTTATTAGGATCTCCCTCAGTTTGTCTTGTCACTTGGTAAATAGATGTTTGTAATTCTGCCCAAATTGTTGCTGGTATGGAAATGATTAGACGAGCCCTCTTTGATTCTTAGATTCTGGTGGCCTTTTAGCATTCTAGTACTTGGTCTTGCTCATGTTGGCATCAGACATCTCTTTGCTGGTTGGTTGTTCGAGCACCCTTTAAACAAGCAACCCCAGTGGCTCCACTGGGAAACGGTCCTGGATCTTTAGCACATGTCAGGAATTGGAGCACAGCCAACCCTCTTTCTGCTAACATCAAGGAACAGTTTTATTGTATAGATCAGAATTGGCAAATTATGACTTGTGGGCCAAATTTAGCTCACACTCTTTTTATAAATAAAAAGGTTTACTGGAACACAGCCATGTTCCTTTGTTTATGTATTACCTTTGGCTGTTTCTGTGCTACAATGGCAGAGTTCAACAGTTGCCGCAGAGTATGGCCCACAAAACAAAACAAAATTTACTATCTGGCACCTTGCAGAAGAAGTTTGCCAACCCCTGGTATAGATGAAAGGGCATTTAAAATTATATACTCCTCCACCTCCCCCCCCAAGAGAAAACCCCATTTATTTCAAGGCTGTTGTATTCTATACATGGACATCTCAGGGGACAAACTAGTGGCAAGCAAATCTAAAAGGGACTCATTCTGTTCTGCATTTGGGGCTGCTCAATACCATAGGGTGTCAGCAGTTGCTTCATTGTTGTATACGTCCCATGAATTTTCCAGTGACCATCCTTAAATAAGTCCTCAGGCCCCAGATGACTTAGAAATCTCTCCCTGAGATGAAAACAAGATCTTGTGTGTGAGTGTTTATAACAGTTGCCAAGCTTGGGCCTTGGACCCCACACTCACCCTTTCATGCTGGGCTTCTGTATGCTTCCACTGCTTCCCTCAGCAAGGATGGCAAGTGCTTTTTTCCTACAACTTTTATTTTCCTGATGTAGAGGAAGACCCTAGGGGGCAGTATTTCTACAGCTAAGGGTTATAGTCTCTGCCACGTTCACCTTCTTTCTTGGTAGGCATCTCTTAGAACTCCTATTTAAAGATTCTTTTCCTCGTCCCTTCCAAGGCTGTTTGTTGATCTTGGAATTCTATTTTCTGAAGCTTTTCTTTCTCAGGATCATTTTCTTTCTTGCATCGTTTAGTTCATCAGGCTCTATTTTCTTAATCCATAAAGTAAAAACAAAATATGAATTGATAAGAAAATAACATTTTGTTGTTAAAATATAAATTGAAATAGTCTTTTTTTTGGTGGGGGTTTGTACAAAATAAGCACTGCTCTCTGCATCTCAACAGTGTCTCAGGTACCTTAGCTCTGGCTTCTGTTAACTACATTTGTCCAACATTTCTATCTCTGGTACCACTGAATTCATCTAACGCCTCTGGAGCATATAAAAGTCTTGAGGTTCTTCAGAAAAAAATCACAGAAGTCAAAGTTCATTATACAAAACTCATAGTGATGCCCACTAGGATCTAGTCTAAGGGGACAGACTTACCCCACCCCTGCTGCTGCTGCTGCTGTAGCGGTGGTCCCTTCAGATGCCCACTCTGCTCAGATTTGAAAAAACAAAAGGAAAAGAAAATCCAACTCAGACCATAAGAAGCAACTTTCCATTTAATCATTCTACATGGACGTTTACTTTTTAAAAAGCTCTGTCTGGCAAGAAAACTGAGACAGTCTCCACTGTCAGACCACTGTTCTGCCCCACTGAGGCTGCAGTGATGAGTCTACTGGAACCCAGTAGGAAAGCTCCCGCAGAACACAGAAGACAACAGCTCTCTAGTCTTCAACTAGTGTCCCATCTGCTAGGCGACACTACTGTGATCATCAGTAATAATAAAATAAATTATTTTTATTTGATACTTTCAAAGTAATACATATCTATGAAAAATCAAAATTCAAAACCAAAAGTTATCCTGCAAATTGGGAGGATGAGAAACAGAGTTGCCGAGTCTTGAGAGAACCTCTGAAGGAAATGAGCTTTCCCAGTTTGTTTAGACAGGGCATGAGCCTATCCCTTTCTTCTTCTGGGAAACAACCCTCCCAGGCTGTGGACTTTGAGTCATGAAAGGAGGACTTGGTACATGTGCCGATGGTTCCGCGATGGATCCCATTGCTGGGAATGGGTAGCCGGGCTCCTTGGTCCACCTGGCTAGTTATTAGGAGGAGTCATGCCTTCTCAGGTGTCAATGAGCAGGCTCACCACTGAGCGGATTTTGCAGGCAAACCATCGCCTGAGGGGACAAAAGTATTGATAGTGGAATTGTTCAAACTCGGGGGTCTGGCGGATATCTCGGAAAAAGGCAATGTCAAGGTCAGACTCGGTAAGGACGATCAGGAGGAGGAGCAAAACAAAGAGGAGTCCCATGGTCACAAGGAGCAAACGGAGGACACTTAAAACAAACTTATTCACCTGTTCCTCCTCTGGCCTGCCGTGCCCCTGACACAGGGCCCTCAGCTCTCCCCCAAGGGCCTCCACATCTGCAGCAGTTGGGGTGCTGGCCTCAGACTCCTTCTCCTCCTCGATGCTGCAGGTGGCCCCATTGATCTGCCGGGAAAGCAGCATCAGCTCCAGGCTGTGCTCAGCCACAGGGGTGGGCAGCATGCTGTCTGCAGGGCTGTAGGCCTCATCTGCGATCACAGTGACTCGCTCGTTGCTGTCTGCCCGGCTGCTTCTCACATGAGGCAGGAAGGTGTCCCCATGAGAGGAGGAACGCACCGGGGTGGAATGGGCACTGTCCCGAAGGGACTCTAGGCCTGGAAAGGCAAAAGGAACATGAGTAGGCTTTCTGTCCCAGTGCACACTTTTTTTCTTCTTTTTATGATTTTGGCCACATTGGTTAAAGATTGTGCCACTCCTGCCTCTGGTGTCCTAGGCCTGGTTTTAGCCCCAATTTGAGAGTCTGAATCGCAGACTATCCCTGATCGAGAGCTGTGGCCATGGTTCAGGGAGTTCAGGTTTGCCTCTTGGGCTTAGGGCTCTGAGAGGCAGGAATGGGGAGGATAAGACTGTGTTTTGCCTAATTGGGCCTCATCTAGTACAGATTCTGGAGCTGAGTGTCCTTTTAATAACCTAGCATACAGCTCCTTGAGCTCATGAGGCCATCTTTTGGATTTCTGCAATGGCTATTGGTTTCTTTAGCCTCCCAGTTCTAGCTGTCCTGACCTTGTGGGATATGAAAACCCTATCTGCTGTTCCTAAGTGCTCTCTGGTAGATAAGGGGAGTAGCCCTGCCCAGCTCCCTCTCTTCTCACCTTAGAATGATCTGGGTTCAGAATAGGCTGAGAGCTTCCCTATGTTAGACACTCTTGAGTGCAGAGTGGATTTTGAGAAGATCTTGTTGGGTGATGGGGAAATTCTCTTACATTTGTTAGGAGAAACGGTTTGTAGCCCTAAAACTACCCATTATCCCTTTACTTTCCCAGATGGAACGTTTCTCTTTCCAGGGCTCAAGCTCCGGTAGGGGAAAACAGCCCAACAACAGCCCCCAGGCCAGAGGATGTGCTCACATCATAGTGCTCCCAAGGAAATGGCTTCTTGTTTCAGGTTCAACACCTGCATTTTCCATTCCTGGCCATTTTGGTGGTGCCAGGATGGCTCTCCCTGCCTTTGTGGCCTATGACAAGAGAAGCCAGTCCCCTTCTGTTGCTCTGAAGTTGACCCCTACTACCTAAGACTGAACCAGATTCCCAGACAGGTAAAGGTTTGACCTGGAGGGCTGATGAGGGAGTTTTCTGGTTCAGAGCTAGCTTTGGAAGCCCAAAGGTCTCTTAAAAGGCACCAGTAGCCTTTCAAAAGTGTGTTGCATCTTTCCTTGGCTCCCTTGTGGTACAGCCATTTGTACCCAGGCAGCCTGCCTGCCGAGCCTACTAGAGCCCATCTCCACACAGGCACAGTTAAGGATTCTCCAGAAGAATGAACCCTGGAATCTGGTTTATGAACAAGAGGTGGGGGCGACGGCAGTCCCATTACCCACCTATACTCCCAGTCACCTCACCATTAGTATATTTGCCAAAGCACTTCTACTTTTAGAAGCTCCTTATGTCCTAGCAGTATTTTGTTCCTATGCTAAAATCTTAAATTTGTATAATGTTTTAAACTTTTGAAAGCACTTTCATTTTATCTTTCAACAACTCCATGAAGTGTAGTGAGGGTGAGAGGTTACAGAACTTTCCTTAAGTCATGTGGTTGGTTGTTAATGGCAAAGGCAAGGAGAGAATCCAATCATCTTTCTATTTCACATGCAAATGACATGTAGTTGGATTCTGGGGAGTGGAACAGTGGGCCAGGATGAGTTGAGTCAACAGCCTGCGCCTTTCTTAGATTTAGGTCTTAACTGCCCAAGAAATTGTTGTGCAGTAATGTGAAATTACGAGCCTTTCCCTTGTTCCAGAGCTCTTGATGCTGCTTTGATCTCTTTGTTTTCCTCAGTACTCCTCCCTGATTTCCCTATGTGTATGAACAAACAGGAACCTTCAGGCCCTGATCACACATGGTGCTGGCTCAGCTCCTTTCCCAACCACTCCTCTGGCCTCCTTTTCTTTGGAACCTCAGCACCCCCTGCACAGGGCTTCTCACACCCTTTCAAGGGACTGTCCCTCACAAGGACAGCTCTGACTGCCAGAGCTTTCAAAGTATGGCCAGCTTAGCAACCAGAAGCCACTTCAATGCAAGCCTAGCTTGGCCTACAATTTAACCCTTAGCTGGGGAAGGAGAGAGGCAAAGCCTATGACATCAGAGAGAACAAATGAGAGGGACACCAGAATCCACATTATACTGAATTGTTGGTGCTCTCAGTAAACAAGATACGGATGCATTTCTAGTAGTGTCTGACAAAGTTACTCTGTGTTAGTCTTCTGTTTCCTCAACAAGCCCCACCTATATCATTCCTCTGTCAGGTTAGTCCTGTACAGAACTTCAGGTGTCACTGTAAACCATCACCGGCCTTACCCCTTCATCAAACCTGTTATTTTGGGAGGATGAGGTCAGTTCCATGGGTGGGATCCGGGCAAGTGGCACAGCAAAACAGAGGACTGTCATTTTTACCTTGGAAGTGCTCCAGCTGATTGCCTTGCCCAGAGGTAGCTCCGAGCGGGCTGGGGGGTACAGTGGTCAGGAGCCTACCCTGGAGCCGGGGCCCCATCCTCAGGATGCGCACACTCAGGGGTCGAAGGCAGTGATTAGTCAACCGGAGCTGAACGCGGACTCTGGTGTGAATCTTAATCAGACTCTTCCCCATGGTAGCCCAGGAAAGCAGATGCTTCTTCAGTGGAAACCAGCTGATCTCTTCATGGAAACCAGCCAAGCAGGGAGATACAGAGGGAAAGGATGGAAAACCGACTAGGGACAAAGGATTTTTGCTGATCTCAGGCTGTGGTGGCCCCTTCGCAGTGCCTCCTGTGCTGGAAAGAGGTCAGCTCCATGAGCCTCAGAGCCGGCTGAGCTGCAGGGAAGGAGCAACTCTGAGAGGCCCATGTTATCAGGGGACTGGATTCAGTCAGAAGCACTTAGAGCCATAAAAAGTAATGCTTCCCCAGCCCGTAGCTGTTTCCCTGAGGCCCGTATAAGGGCCCTAGACCTCTCAGAGGGTGAGGGACAGAGAGGGAACAATCCTGGAGGGTAGGGGGACTCAGGGCTGTCCCAGAAAATTCAGGGTGTGAAGCTACAAAGACATTGGGCTTTGGGCTGAGTGGCTCTGAAGAGTGAAGAAGTGGCTGAGCCCCATCCCCTACTGGGATAAACCTGGTGGCTTCAGCCTCAGGATGGATGGAAAGAGGGGACACATAGAGGGGACAAACTTAGTTTCCTCAAAAAAGGAGAAAAAAATCATTCCACTTTCCTGAGATGAACACCCCAAAAGAAGAGGGACAGTGTGAGCCATACTCAGTTCTGCTCAGCCTGACAGTATAGACTCAGGATGTTGTGTCTGTTGATGGTCAGACCTCAATAATTCCATACCTTGTACAGCGACTATACTTGGTAGTTTACAAGGCACCTTCCACATTCACACCCCACTCCACAGTGGGGCCAAGAGGCTCAGAGAGGTTAAGCAACCTGCCCCAGAAAGTACATGGCAGAGCTCTGACTCAAATCTTGTCTTGGACTTCCTGACCAGGGCTCTTTGCACTGTGCTTGCTGCTTGCCAGTATGTGCTTTAATCTCTTTAAAGCACTTCTGCATACACCAGCTTCCTTGCAACCCATGGCAAGGAAGATAACCCTTTTTTACAGATTGAGTAACAAAGATACTCAGATAATTAAGGCACTTGATGGTGGCTGCTCAGCCAGGGTTTTCAACTCCCAGAGAACCATACTCAGGTGATGCAGTCAGTGACACATCATAAAATCCTGAACATGAACCAGAGATCCTCCCTCAGGAGCAGCAGAGAGACGTCCTTCCTAACCTGAGCCGTTCTTCATTTTCATTCACAAGCAGCATTTTCTCAAAGGACAAAGGGCCTTCCCTCCCCAGCTTCCAAGACCTAAACAGGTTTGCAACAATCCTGCTGCTGTTTCCTGCTGCAGGATGAAAACAATCTTACATCCATATCCAGCCTGCAGGACAAGCTGGGTCAGGGACAACAGCTGGAGGACACTATCCCGAGAGTCTCCTCAAGATACCGGACAAGCGGGACAAGCTAGAGGTATCTCCCTTAGGCTGCTGGGGTATCCAGTTCTGAAGATACACAGACTTGTCTCTCCCACCTCCACCTACTCCAAAGGGAGGGAAAGGTTGACAGCAATAGCAAGAGGGCAGATTTCTACCACTGAAGTAAAAGGTGGTAGCAGTTATTGGAATGCTTCAGAACCAAGAGTTCTTATTTTATCAGCCACCCTTATCATTTAAGCTGTGGAGATTGGTCAGATCTGGAAAACAAGTGAAAAGCTACTAGATGGAAAGCAGTTTCAGAACTGCATGGAACCTGGTAGATCCCACATGCACTGTCCCCAAAGGTCTACCACAAATACTCTCAGATCTACAACCCCCTCTTGGATTACAGCTCAGCAGGGCTGGATGGGATTCCTTCACCTGACACCCAGCTGGTGTGCCTACCCAGTGGGTGAAACCTTCTCCCTACCATCAGAGAAAATTGCTACTGTCTCTAATATCATCTCACCTCTTTTCAAGGTCCCTGAGTGGAAATGGCCTAAGTTACAACTCGGAAAAACCTGTGGTCATCTCATCTCATGCTTACCTTCCATGATGGAGATGTGAACAGCTCTTCTCCGGGTCCTGGGGACACTGCTCAGCCTTGGGCCATGGGTTATGGAGGGACAGCTGCGGCTGGGAACCATCCCAGCTCTGAGGTTAAAGAAAAAGAACACGGTTAGCTCAGTGCACAGGTAACTGTGGTCAGGACTCAGAGTTGAGGAGTGGCTACTAGAATGGCCTAGCTGTATTTTTTATTTTTAATCTTTAATACCTGCTCCCCCCCCTTTTTCTTTTTTAAAATATGTTTTTATTGATTTCAGAGAGAGGAAGGGAGAGGGAGAGAGAGAAACATCAATGATGAGAGCAAGTCATTGATTGGTTGTCTCCTGCACGGCCCCTACTGGGGATCCAGCCTGGGACGTGGGCATGGGCCTTGATCAGGAATTGAACCATGACCTGGTTCATAGGTCGAAACTCAACCACTGAGCAATGCCAGCTGGGCTAATATCTGCTTTTTGCCTTTAGTCCCTGGATCCCATTCAGAGATAATGGTGTAAACTCATCCACCTCCCTACATCCCAGACCCACTGGAACTTTCCTGTAGTGTGTCAGTGGTGCCACTGGTCTCTGGGCAGGATAGTCAGGGAGCAGTGCCCCAGGATAAACAGTGCTCCTGAAAATGTTCCTGAAAATGGATATGGCAGCCCCCCGACTTCCAACAGAGGTGGCTGGTTGCAGGGGGGCTTTGTGTGAAGGGGCAGGTAGTAATACTCCCATTCCCAGAGGTCAGGCTGGTTGGCAAACCCTAGCTCTCTTGGCCAATCATATTCTTTCTGGCTCTCATCCGGTTCTAGGAGATGGGCTCCTGGAATTGTGTGCATGAAGCATGGATCTGTCAGAACTAGTTTACATGTGGTGTGACGGGTATGGGGCTACCCCTGGCTTCCTGTAATGAACTGATTCTATTACCAATGAAATCTTGCTGCTTGGACATGTCCTCTATGGTGTATGACCAATTTCAGGACTTGGGAGGACAGTAGAGAATCACCCAGGAAGGTGGGTCCTAGATCTGAGGTGCTGTCTGCATTAGCCCGCTCTCCCCGTTCTCCATCCAGGCTCAGGGATACCAGGGTCAGATGGTTTCCCACGCCTTTAGCCAAGATGGGTCTTTTCACCCCTCCTGCCCTGTTCTCCTTCCCCTTTTGGGAGCCACTGTGGCCAGAATCTTCACATTACTTAAACTGCTGGCTTTTGAGATTCTGGGACCTGAGCTGGAAATGCTTTTGGGGGAAGCCCTTGGCAGCCTACCTGTGGATTTCTGGTGGCTCCCGTTTGATCTTGGCACTCGATTCCATTACTTCCTTTGCAACTCGGCCACTGTAAGTAGTATAATAAAAACAGCAGCAAGAAATGAGACAGTGTTGTGGGACTGGGCTCCTCTCCAAGATCTCATTCCTTTGGCTGGACTGGGATAGGGCCTCTTTGGCCTGCCCCTTCCCAATGTTTAGGCCACTGAAAGGCTTGCTTGCTGGGGGTAAAGTTCTAAGATGTCCCAACAGCTGTCTGAGAGAGACCTCTATCTCTGGAGTCTTTGTGATCTTCCATTCTCATTTAGGAATGATTCCTCATTGTCCAACATGTTCCAAAAATATTGCAAAAACGAGAAATCTTTAAACAGACATGAGAAGAATTACTGTTACAGTTCTTATTGTGCTGCTGTTGTAAGGGCAGGAGAAGGTACTCATTTAAAGCCCTACAGACACAGCTGCAGGAAAGGAAAGAATAGTCAAAGGGTTAGGAGGCAGTTGGATGGAAACCTCAAGCTTTTCTGGAGGTCCCCAGTTTCTTTGTCCTGAAGGATAAGGACCACTGGGCCATCGTTCTGAAGAGAAGGGTCTGAAAATGGGTCCTTAATGGTGACTTACTGTCACTATTTACCTGTATCGGAACCGGCTCCCTTTAAAGAATAAATTGCTGCTGGACACTGTGCGGACTTGGCTTGACTTCTCCAGCCTGCAGCAAGGCAAAGTCAGTGTGAGAGACGGCCTGTGACTGTCTCACAGGTTAAGACAGCGCATCCCCAGCCCCTTCCACAGGAAGACCCTTCATAGCCCTGCTGGTCTCCGGCTCTCCTTTAGGACTTGAGGGCTGTGCTCACAGCCTCAGAACCAGGGGCAGGCATACTGAACCCCACTTTCACGTCAGGAGAGTGAGGGTTCACCAGGGAGACTGAGAGAACAAACGTTAGGGATGATTGTCCGGGGGAATAATAGGATGCCACCCATGGAATCTCAGGCCACTTAGTAGTATGACCTTGGGTAAAAATGTTTTCTCTTTAGCCTCAGTCTCCTTACCTATAAAATAATAGAGCTGAGGCCTCAGGAGCCCTTTCTAATCCTGGCACATGATTTGTGTTCATGTCTGGGTAACTGGTGGAGAAGAGAGTAGGGGCTTTCTTCCTATTCCATCTCCTTTTTGAAGAGTCCTAAAGTGTATTATCACATTAAAGACTCTGAGAAGTCCTGAAATGAAGAAGCTAGCTTAACTTCAATAAAAGTTCCATCATTTATTTGAACTTGGAATCATTCTCCCATCCCCAGAATGCATATTAGCCTCACTTTCCAGGCTGTAGAGATAACTGATGTGGAGACTCTGGAAGGCCATGGGTGCTGTAAAATATCCTTTTGGGTGACTTCTTTGATCCACTCAGAGCTCCCCAGAGTGAAGTCTCCCAAGACCCAACTCAACCTGCAACCTGCCCTGGGTGCCCATGGTGCTAATCCAGCCAGGAACACATCTAGGTCTGAAGCCTTTGTCGTGAGTTGGTAGTGAATATTTAGGGAGTTGTCTCCACAATCCATGAACAGCAGTTCCTGAGAGTCACCATCCCCACCTATCTCAGGGCTCTGTGAGGCTCAGCCTACTTGCCCTCCTGCCCGAGCACATTCTGGAGTCTGACCTGGCTCCCTTCAAAGCACTGGGCCACAGACAGGAATCTGCAAATGGGATGCTCAGAGGCCTGAGAAGCAGCTGATAGAAACTTGGTGTAACTGGGGATCTGACCTTTAACACTAATTAGAACATTAAGTAGTTAATGGAAAACAGTGAAGAATGACCTTGGTTTCCACTGTGGGTGTTGGCAGGACTAACTAGGTCTGGAGGTCTATTAATGGAAAGACTCAGAAACTGAGTTTGGTCATAGGTTCAGAAGCACAGTTCTGTTCCCATGACAAAAAATAAAGGCCTCCAGAAATGGTGCTGAAATATTTTCTTGGCTTTCCTTGAACACCAGGGACTGAACAGGAGGGAAATTTGACCATATGAAAGTCTTTTCCAAGTGTCTTCTCTTTCATGAGAAGAATAAAGACCACTCAGGTTAGAATTCAGGCCACCCATTCAGTTCATCCCTGATTCTGTATCAAATGCACAGAAATCATTAAGCGGTTCAGAAAGCCTGCCCAAGAAACAACTTTTGGGGCTGTGGTCCCAGTAACAGGGAGGAGACCAGTTCTGCAGGCAGGCATCCTATAGCAGCCAATGGGTAGCAGAGTGCTCACTGGGGTGGAGGATGGTACCCCCTCTCCCCTCTACACACACACAAAGCCAGAGCAATTCTGCTCTCTCCGGGATCCCTCAGGTTACTGGAAGGAGAGCAAACTATATGGCCTATCGGGCAGAACATACCACATACACTTTTGTCTTATGTTGTCCTGATAAAATTACAGCTTATTAATGCATAAATCATTACATTCTATTTTCAAAACAAGACCAAAGGTTTTAGTGAAACAGACTTTATCTGGCGTCACTGCAGTTTCTCAATGGGCTATTTCTTTGCTCCCTAATGCCTTTATGCCCATTTTCTTGAAGAAAACAGCACAAAACCCTCAAATACTTTACAAAATTCTTTGGTAGGCAAAGTTGTCTTTGGCCCAAAGCTGGCTCCTTAGTACCAGACAAGTCCTTGCCCCCTCCAGTTACCCTATCCCAGGCTCCTGGGCACTTGGCCGGTCATTGGCAACACCTCTGGCAGTGATGCTCCAGGAGGGCTGGAATTAATGCCAGCTTAGCGCCAGGTCACTCACTGGGGAGTGGGCCCAGGATCTCCCTAAGGCTTATGGAACTGCTTTGGGCTGTGCCTGCTCCTTCATTGAGCTATTAGTATTCTGAGCTGTCTTAGGGCTCTGACTGGTTCCACGGGGCCAGTTTGATTTGAGTAAGGCACCCAGGGGCTTTTCTGGCCCAAGTCTTACTCTGAAAACCCAGAATTGCTTTGCTGCTGAGGGCTGTCCAAGGATATCACAAGGCAGACCCCTTAGGCAACTGTACTCAGCTGTGTCCCTCCAGGGGGTACGCACAGACATTTGAAAAGGGGTCTGAGTTTTATAAGGAAATCCAGCCCTATCATCTCACTTCTCATTTCTCAAAGCTTCCTGACCATCATTCCTCTGAAAAGTAACTTTCACGACTTTGATAATGATGGTCCCTGTTCCATATGTCCACTCACTTGTAGAAGGCTTGGTTCTCAATCCCACATTTCCAGAGGTGCTTGCAGGCTTCTGGAGTTGGAGCAAAATATGTGAGAATAATTTTCTTTTCCTACAAAAAACCCCACACAGAAACAGCTGAGTGTGGATGGAGAAGAGAAGGGTGAAGTAGGCCAAGACACTGACCCCCGCAAGCTGTCTAAGGGCTCCCATGACTCTCACAGGCTGCGGATGGGGAAGGGGCTGCCTGGCAGCTGGCTGGTTGGAAGCGAAGGCCTGCAGGACTCCCTGGGGTGGGACAGAGCTGTTGGGTGCATAAGTTCACACCTGGCAGGGCCACTGAGAGTAAGTCTCAGCTGGCACAAACAGAACCAAGAGCCCTCACCAGAGAAAGTAGCACTCATACCTAAAATGTTTTTTAATTTCTACTTTGTATTTATTTTCTTGAAATTTTCATATGAAAGCAAAAGAATCTTATTTTGATTGCATTTTTTGGAAGCATGAAACTTCTGGGTGTCAGCAGCAGCCCCAAGAAAGCTCTGTGTTCCAGGGCTTTGCCACCTCTCCCTCCCTCACCTCCACATCTTGACCTTGGTCTTGGCTTAGCATGCAGGTGGCTTAGCTCTACCTGGATGGAGCACTTTTGTTCAGCCCTGGCCATCCCAGTACCTCAGCCCTCCTGAAAAGAAGGAAGCCAGCACTCACCTCTTTCTGACTTACGTATAAATAGAAAGTCTTCCCTTCAAATTTCAGCTTGGTCACCTCATTCCTAGAAGCACAAAGACACCTCAGTGGTGAGCTGCTCGTTCACAACTACGTCTCATAGATGCACAGCCCACCCCGACTGGAAGGGGCTCCAGGCACAGACACAGTTTTAGCCAAATCAGAACTAAAACAAGACAGCAGCGCAGTGGCCTTGGAGAACAGTTGCTGAAATAGTTCAATCCACAGTTTTCTAGTCAATCAAACTATAATAATAGGGTGATAGGAGGATTTCAGGCTCATCGACAGTGGCTGTAAAAGGGAAACACTGGCATGGGAAGTGAGTCTAGGTAGGGTGGTCCCAGGCCATTTCAGGATTTGGTTCATAACACAGGTGCATTATCTGGATGGGACTATCAAACATAAGATGCCACAGTAGCTGATGAGGCCAAAGTTCAAGATACAGCAAATCATGAAAATGCAACCAGGTTCTGAGGGAACTGAGTCTTTCAGGTGACTGTGCCACTGGATGGAAAATGCAGTTGAATGCAGACAAATGTCAAATGATCTCAGGGAGGGGGTGGAACAACATACCAAAGAGAGAACAGATTACATGAACAGTCATGCAGTGTACTGACCAGGAAAGGGGCTTAGGGGTTTTTGTAGAAAAATCCTTGAAGCCACCAGCCCAGTGAATGGCTGCAGTAAAAGAGGCAAACAGGATACTGGGGTACGTCACCCGCAGGACAGACACAAATCAGAAGAAGTGACATGGTTACTGTACAGGGCACGGCTTAGACCTCACCTCCACATACTGCTTGCAGCCTTAGTTACATTTACAGAATGGAAAAATGACTGGGATTGTAGGTGGATGTCCCTGAGAGCCAGAGAACCGGGCCTCAGCACTAGTCAAGCTTCACTTCCTTCCATTTGCCTGACTTGGCTGCCCTCGGGAGTCCGAAGGGCCTCCACCCTCACTGGGGGTGGAGTCCTTATTTTTCTACCCACTGGAGCCCCCATGGAGGTCTGACCAGGCACAAGTGCCTACACTTGGTGTCTTCCTCTTTGCAATTTTTAGGGGAAATTTCCTCAATATCCTAGGAAGTAGCGGAAAGGTTAGTGAGAACTATGTACCCAGTTTACTACTGGACAAAACTGAGGGGACAAAAGAAGGTCACTTGTTCCCTGGAAATCATGGTTGGGCTGGGATGAGAGTTCACAATTCTGACCAACAGTTCTGAGCTAATACAAGACACAGTGTATTCCTTCCCTGTTTGATGCCCTTCCAACCAACCAATCAGTCTCTCATACACAGAATACTATAAATATCAATTGGTTAATGTAGAAACAAGCACACAGATCATCTAGACTTCAATAAGAAAGGTAGGAAAGTAAGAGTTTTTTATGGGAAGTGAGATTGGGTTTACATCTATTAAAGCTGAGACACTGTGAAGAGGAGACTTCCTGCAGATGTGAGGATAGGAAAGGGCCTGGGAGAAGCAGGTGAACATCGGGGCTTCTGGAGGGGTAGGGACACATTACGGATTGTAGGTTCCTGTATCAGTTGTGTCTGACCTCATGAGGCAGCTACCCTGGTCAGTGTGGTCCCGGATCTGGGCTCGCTAAGGGACATCTGACAACCCACTGTATCCAGGCAGCAGGTGCTCCTCCCTGGGAGGGAGAGTGGTGGCCTAGTCCTGCTCATTGTCTTTTTCTGAAAAGTATTTTGTTGGACAGAAGACCGCAAACCCTCAATGTCTTCACCCAGAGAGCACAGTGGGTGGGCCAACTGGAGCTGGGTCTGTCTGAGGAGCAGTTTCTCCAACATGAGGTTGATCATCAGATTGCCAGTCTTCACAAGAGCAATGGGGGAAAGGTGGTGTCTATGAGGTCAGGACAGGAGCTGAAGGGGACACGGGAGGATAGATGCCCTGCAGTCCCCCCAGCAGAAAGCTTGTCAGAAAGCAGCTCTGTCCTGATTCCCATGAGCTCTTCTGGAGAAGGAAACAAGACAGGAGCCGGCTTCCCTGGCTAAGCTCTGCTGGGCCAAGGAAAGCCACTTGTCCAAGCCCATGGGAAGAGTTGGCCAGCTAAGACTTGACAGTCTAAGGTCCAAGAAGGTACAAAAGTCACAGGGGCTTAGTAGAACAGCCAACATGTTTTGATGAGGTGAAAGATGTTTGCATAGGCCTGAAAAAGGGTCTCCAGGAGAGCCGAATGTCCATCAACAAAGCAGAGTCTGCACTGCATCGGCTCCCAGAGCCACGCAGCAGAACAGACCCCGAACAGACGGGGCAGAGCAGTAGTTCAAAGTAGCTTCAGCTGAGGCAGTGTCTCCTGCCTGCTAGAAATTGGGGAGAGGGAGAGGGAGGGGGAGAGGGAGAGGGAGAGGGAGGGAGGGAAGAAAAAGTGGGGATATGATTCTTGGAAGCTGAGGACACCTAGTCCCTCAAGAGGGAGAGGAGAGACAGAGCAGTAGCTGTGCTTTTGCAGACGCTGCCCACAGTGGGGTTGGCCTGAGCAGGGTGCTTGCCAGAGCAACTGGGTAACTCCTACCTGCCCCAGGGGTCACTGTGAGCCCCTCCTTCATTAGGAGAGTGGGTAGGGGAGTAAGCATCCATGCAGATGCTATGGGCCTCAGTGGGGAATAGTCCCAACGTCTCATTTCTCATGGGGACTTGGCTTCTCTAATATTGGCTCCAGCCCCACGCCTTTCTTCATACCAGAAATCAACCCTCCACACCCTTTCTTCTTCTGGAGAGGCTGCTGGCTCTCAGGAACACCCCTCTAGAAGAATAGGATCCCTAGGAAGAGACCACTACCTTCATCAGTTAGCATTATGGATGCAAGGCTTTGGAGGGGCTCAGAACCATAACTGCCCAATCACACACAAAGAACATGGGAACCACAGCCCTCCCCAGCTGGTGAAGTATAAAAAGCCTGTCTTGGAAATAAAGATATTCACCATTTAATGAAGTGGACCCTCTTGTTTCCTTGAAGAACAACAAATCCAAAAGGAGTGAAGGCCAGAAATGCAGCATTTCCTGACACGTCCTGCAACACAGGAAGACTTCTCATTGGGGTGATGCAGGCATAGAGATGAAAGGGTGAGAAACAGCTGTTCATCGGAGATACAGGGTTAATACTTGGCAGCAGGTCACAGAGGGAAGAGCAAGGCATTTGGAAGTGAAAGGCAAGTAACTTACCTTCCTTCCGTGAGCCTCAATGCCCTTAACTGTAAGTTGTAGATTATAATGATACCAATCTTAGAAGGCTGTTGTGAACATCCAAAGGGAGAGGCAAACCCTCACACATTGCTGGTGGGGTTGTAAAATGGTACAGTCATTTTGGAAAGCAGGTTGGAAGTTCTTCAAATTGTTAAACACAGAATTACCTCATGACCCAGCAATTCCACTCCTAGGTATGTACCCAAGAGAACTGAAAACATATGTTCACACAGAAACTCGCACATGAATGTTTATAGCAGGATTAATTGTTCATAACAGCCAGAAAGTGGAAACAATCCAAATGTCCGTCGATTGGAAAATGAATGAGCAAAATGTGGCAGATCCATACAATGGAAGATATTCAGCAAGAAAAGAGAATGAATCACTGACACATGCTACAAGCTCTGAAAACACTGTGCTAAAAGGAAAGTTACAAAAGATCACATGTTCTATGACTGCATTTATATAAAATGTCCAGAATAGGCAAATCCATTGAGGCAAAAAGCTGCCAGGAGCTGTGGGGAAGGGGAGATAGGGAGCAACAGCTAATAGGAACATGATTAACATGTTCTAAAATTAGATAGTGGCGACGGTTGCACAACTCTGTGAATATACTAAAAACCACTGGACTGCATACTTTAAAAGGATGGATTTTATGATATGTGAATTATATCTCAAAAAAGCTGTTATCGGAGGGAGGCATGGAGGGAAAGGGAGAAGGGGGGAGAGGGAGCGTGGGACTGAGGGGCAGGAGAGAGAATGAGAATGAATGAATGAAGATGCAGGTATCATGATGGGCTCCACACACGGCTCCCTCGGGAAAGCTTAGCTAAAGAAAAGGTAGGAAGCAACTGGCCTAGTGGAATAGCCATCACCAGCCCTACGGTGCCCGAAACAACAAAGAGGCCTCTTGGTCACCTGTCGCCATTAGTCAGTAAACACCACGCCTGAGGTTCTGCTGAGCAAAGAGGGGAGAAGGTACAGCAGCAGCTGTAGGTCACAGTTCCCTCCTGTGGGACAATGAGCTCCATGGGGATCAGGTCTTTTCTAGTTGGGATAAGGCACAGAAAGCTGGTTGATGGGTTATGCTGTCCCAGGAAGCTTGCTCTGGTAGGGACCTCAGGTGAGAATCTGCTCTGTCAGGGTGTGTATTCAGGTGGCCAGAAAATCATGGCAGCATGCTAGTCAAATGTGTGTGCAGGACAGTTGTCTGGGCCATAGCTTAGATGGTGCCATGCAGTGTTGTCCTGAAAGCGTCTCTTAGAGTTGGGGTTACAAGTGTGAGCATCTGGGCCCAGGGAATAAACTAAGTACATGTTTTGCAAACATGTCCAATTAATGTATTTTTGGACCCTTTCCTCAGGGTCTGTCATGACCCCAACACTTGCATGCACGCACAATGTCATTCAACTTTGGGCACAGCAAAGAGCTGTTTAAAAATATCCTGAGTGGAGATACTGTGAAGCCACAGGGCTGGATCTTCTCCTGCCTGTCATCAGTGCTTGGTGGTGGTTAACACCTGAGTGCCAGCACGTACACAAGCGCTAACCTGGCAGGTTGACAGGGACATGGGTCAGGGCAGGCTGGTGCTTAGGGTAGAGAACACCTGGGAGAGGTGGGTGAGGGCTCTGCTTGCAGGGAGGTGGCCTGCCTTGGAGGGTGGGCACCAGGACCTTTGTGCTCACTGTGCAGCCAGGATCCAAGGAAGTCCTGAAACCAGGCTTCCAAAGAGACCTAAGGGTGGAGACCTTACCTTGTTTGTACTCATGGAACAGGCCTGCAGGAAATGTTTATCAGATGAATGTGTAAGACAATGGGTGTGCCAGAGGGGCCAGGGTGACTGCAGTGGAGGAAGTAAAAAAATGGGAGGGGAGGGCACAGTGGGACCAGTGGAGAAAGCGCCTTCCAGTGCACCCTGAGAGACAAGAAAGGCCTAGCAGGAAGAAAAGGGCCATGCCTACAGAGGACTGAGGAAGGCTGGAAATAACAGGTAAAGAGTAGAAAGGGAAGCGGCAGGGTGGGTAGGGATGCGCCACCCTGCTTCCTGTACCACTGACCCCTGCGGGCAATGGCAGGGCAGAGAGCGCCTACCCATCCCCACAGTGAGTGGGCTCGGTTGGGGTCAGGCCACTCAGGCCCAAGTTCTGGCTCTGCCACTCACTGTCTGTGTGACCTTGGCCGGGTCCCTTCATTTCTCCATGTTTCAGACTCTTTGCTGTAAAATAAGGATTGATAATCTTATCTATCTCTTAGGCTGTACTTAGTAGGCACCTGATACATGTTGGTGGTTGTGTTGTTAATATGGCTGCTACTAATTAGCTCAGTTTGTTGAACTTAATTCAAAATCTTTTAAAAACAAAACAAAACATGTTACTATTTTTCCTGATGTTGGATTTAAATGTTAGTTAGGAAATGAGGGTGTGGGAAGTTGGGGTAGAAAGGGAGATGCCACTCTTGTTAGGGGACTATGATAAAAGGGGATCTGAGTGATACCCGTGGGACCTGGGGTGAAAGTAAAGTGGGCAGAGGGGGAGGAGACAGAGGCTGTGGCAGATCTGTGGGAGTCACCCCAGTGCAAAGGGAAGAGAAGGTCCTCCCACGAGCTGGGTGCTGCTGGCTGGGTTATGGGGTGGCACCATCCATCTGCAACACCCAGACACCTCGGGGCTGGCCTCCCAGGGAAGGCAGGTGTTGGAGTTAGAGGGGAACAGCCTCTCCTGACCAGACTGGTTGATTTGGAACAGGGAGCAAACTGGGAATAAATCCTGATTAGACACCACATGGTTCCATAAGTAATAACAGCACCTTGACTAGACCCAATCTGGTCTCATGAAGAGAGCAATTCTCCAAATTGCTTCCAGTGCGACAGTTCCCAGTTCCAGATGAAGGCCTCTGCCAGGCTCCGGCAGCTGGGTGTCCACAGGGGTGGAGGGCAGCAGGAATGTTCGCTGCTTGTCTGGCACATGAGGAGCGGGGCTTGGAGTTACAGTGAGAAACCTCATATCTGTACCAGCATGAAAACACAAACAGGCAGCCACGCTGACACCTTCTTTGGAACTTTCCCAGTTCCTTCTATCTAACGTGTCATTCTCATTGTGAGCCTGCCCTTGGGATTTGTGTGAGAAAGGACAGGTTACGAAAACAGAAGGAAATGGGGACGAGAAGTGACACAGACAATAGTAACCTGTCCCCTTCCCATCTTGATGAAATCAGTACCCACAGGACTGAGCCATTAATACACCTGGGAGGTGGAATGAAAACGCGTGTCCTGACAGCCACAGGCAGGTATCGCTGTCTCCACTCTACATCAGCTAACAGTCAAAGGAATTTAGTTCACGTTTACAGTTTGAGGCAGAAGTTTGTTTCCAATTTTTCATCCTTGTGCAAAGAGCTTTTGTCTGGGTTTAGGATCCCAGCTCTGTTTCTTATTTGCTCTGTGACTTCCTTAACTTCTCTGAACTTTAGTTTCCTCATTTGTAAAATAAGGACAATAAATAGTATATACTTCAAAAATACTGCTTCCATCTGATGGCCTGAATGACTAACTGCCAGGACATGGCTAATAGTGTTCTCCTGGAGAGGGGATGGACTTGTACTGAGACAGTCACGTGTTCATGTGGAGCCCACCATCAAACTTGACCTGCATCAATTCAATATCTTAGAGGTTTGCCTAAGATGATCACTCTGCCCAGAAAAGGACTTTTGGAAACCACAGCACTGACTGGTTCTTGGAAGTAGGGACATGTGGCCACCTTTGTCCAGTCCCCCTCCGATAGTGAGGTAGGCTTCTGTCTGCTGCCGCCCCAGTGGACATCCTGGGTATGACAGCATAAGGACCCAGCATTCTTGGTTGTTCCGCCTCTAGGTCATCCAGTCCCCTCTCCAAAGCATGACTTAAACTAATTCAATCTGGGTGGATGAAACCTCTGTTATTCTTTAAAAACCATAGGGAAGAGGAATTGACATGCCTTTCCAGACTCTTGTGCCCATTCCTGAAAGAGCTTGTAGCTGGGAACCTTTAAGTCAATCGTGAAAATCACCCAGTTTCAGTATACTCAAACTGGGCCACAAGAAACTGGGGTGGAAATCAGGGCGAGGCACCTGTAAGAGGCTTGGCGTCACCCCATGACAGCTCAGAGACGGAAATCTTGGCAGAAACTTGCCACCTAGGTGGGTTTAGTCAAGTTCTTCATTTCAGCAGTAAATCTAACATTCTCTCCACAATGCAGCCTGGAGGGGCCCACCCGAGGACGAGGGTGAGCTGTCACAGCTCCTTCTGGTTCTGGTTCTCTGAGGTCAGGGGCAACCTGTCAAGCTGGGAGGAGGGTTTATTAAGAGAGAAGCCTGGGTGGCTCGATTATGAAAGTAATGATCCTATTTTAAGGGCAAAGGAATGACAATGGATTTCATTTGTGTGGTTGCTCCAACCTAGATCCTGCTGATATCAGTTTCCTCCTGGTCTGTTCAGAACAGACATAAAGCCACTTGGTGAACTTACGTTACGTTTTTATGATTTCAGTAGTTTCATATGTCTTTGCCTTCTCTCTATCATAGCTGGCAGTGAGTCCTGCTTTGTTCCTAAATAAATGCCATCACTCCAGAAGGAAGACTATGAACGATAACTGAAAGAGCACACCACTGAGACGCAGACAACTCTGGGTTCGAGTCCCGGTACTGTGGGTACCAGTAACTCTCGACATGTCGTTAGTCCGTCAGAGGCTCAGTGTTCTTATCTTAAAAGGAGGACAAGAACTTCTTGAAAGCGTTATTGAAAAGATTAAATGAGATAGTGCACATAAATGCCCGGCATGTTCATTCAATAAATGGCACCCTTCTGACTCATAAGGCTGGGTGAAGACCGGGTATCTGGGATGGGTATCTGGGAGGGTCTGATTACTCCACAAACCTTCATGGCAGGAGACCACAGTCCAGGCCTGCAGGAGACCCAGAGGAAACAACCAGTCCCAGGGCCCTGGAAGGAACAGGACAGTGGCTCCTGGGCTTGGAGAGGTGTCAGGCTGGGGAATAGGTACAACACTGGGCTGCCAGTGGTTTGCTCCACTCTCCACATCCAGCGGCTATAGGCTTGGCCTGCTGGGGCTCCTGCAGAGAGCAAGGGGGGGGGGTTGTGAATGCTCAGAATCTGGGCATTATTGCACGCCAGCTAGCTACTGGAGCCCTCGGTCTGTCCCACCCAGAGCGGGTAGGATCTCCTCTTCCTGGTCCCAGGGCCAGACAAGGACACTGTGGGCAGAACGAAACCATCAGCATGGACAGGAAGATCAGCAACTTCTTAATCAGTTCAGGAGAACAGAGCCCAGCCTAAGTGTTGCTCTGCTCTCATTTAATTATCAAAACGATTCCTCTTCTTCTGTCCTCCCTGGGGCTACGTGCCCCAGATTCCCTGGGCCCAGTAATTGCCTCTCTGTTAATAGAAATCATCAGTATTTATTACACTGAGTGCTCCAGCTTATTGCAGCTCTCCTTGTAGCAGCATTAAGGCGAGTGCTTGGTAGCATATCACCAAAGTGACTCTACTTAATGACAAGAGTAAAGGCTCTCAAACTGTTCTTGCTCAAGAAGCTGAGGAAATCCTGAGCTGGAGCCCAGTGAATGAGATGAGATGAGGGCCCATGTGTGGGGTCTGCAGCAGGGCCCTGACATGGCCCTAGGTGAGCAAGAGGTGTAGGGCCCAGGAACAAAGGACTGGAAGCCCAGTGCTGAGCACTCCCACCTTCTCCCCAGAGGAAGTCTCCTGAGGGCTCCTGCTCCTTACAGATACATCATGGGAAGTGACTTGAGTTCAAGTTCTTGCTCTATCACTCAGGGCCTTGTAAACTGTGGCTTCCTGGAACTTTGATCTCCTCATCTATAAGCCAGGAAGAGTAACATCCATCTCCCAGGGCTGGCATGCAGATTAAATGAGAAAATAATGTGAAGGATTCCCAGGGGCCTGCCATGGAAGGTGTGACAAATGTCACTTCTCTCCTGCAGTCCCTTCAGCCTGTGTCCAAGAAGGACAAATTCATTAAAGCAGGGCTAAGCCACTGTCACCCACAGTCACTCAGCTGTGCCCAGGCCCATTATGTGTTGTCAGGTGACAGTCCTGCCTGGGGACCCATCTCTGAAGAGGTGGGCACTCTGTGTGACCTCAAGGGGACAGGGCAGATTTAGAGTCAAAATGAGAGGTACCTGGCACCTCCTGATGACTGTGTCTATTTTTAGGCAGCTGTGTCCTTTAAGGTCATGAAGTGACTCAGCAGTTCAGGGAGAAGCAGTTATTGAGTACCCACTGTGTACCGATGAGCAAAGTGAGGCTTGGAGAAGCCTCCAAAGGCCCCAGTAAGTAGGAGCCAAGTTCTGGATTCAAGGTCAGCTGACTCTGAAGCTCTCTTCAGTCTTATGCAGGTTCCTCTGCTGACAGTATCTGAGTAATTAATGGAGTTGGACTACAACAGTTATGCAGAGGGCATTATTTATGAGGCTGTGCTAATTCATTGGTAAATATCCATGTCACTTTTTGGGTATAAATAGGCATCAATGTGTTTTCTGATAGTGCTGGCCCCCAAGAACACACGGGTTTTCTGGCAGTAGGCTGTGCTGGTGGATAGGAAACGGGTTGGGGAAGGTGACCAGGGGAGAGTTAGATGTCAGAGTTCATATTGGAAGTTTCCACATTAAAACCTATGCAAGAACAAATCACCATTACCTCACCAAGAGGCCAAAGGAAATGCAACTCTGGCCCCACATCACTGGTTCCTTGGTTTCTATTCTCTTGATTTTTGTTGGAAACTTATGATGTCCCTTTACCTATTAGGAAGAAAAGGTCAAGGTCCTCCTGTTCCCATTGGATACTGTCTCCCTCAGATTAGTTTGAGAATCAGTTTTACTGTTGGTACTGGAGTCTCTCCAGTGGTGGAAAGACAGAGGCAAACACTGGGAGAAACTGAGGCAGAGACAGGAGTGTCAGAGCCAGTGGGATATGGAGATAAGTGGAGGATACGGCCACAGAGTTTAGGAAGAGGCCACAGGTCTCCCCTGCTCTCCGCAGTGACTGTGGCTGCCTGAGCTCATCTCCACAACGAGCCACATGTGAGTAATTACGGAGGTTTTCTCTGGGCAGAGCCTGCCTGGCTGGTTCCCGCCTTGCCCTCACAGGCGCATAATGGAATTAGATGTGACTCCACTGCATTTCCGTGCAGTGACTTACGCTGCTGTAGTCAATAAAACCCACTCTTGGAAAGAAACTAGATTACGGGTCAAGAAAGGGTGGGCAGTGTGCTGAGCCGCCTCTGACTGTTCTCTGTGGGGGAGCCTTCCACATTCCTCCTCTCTTCATTCCCACCAAATTACCCACCGCTGCAAAACTGGGGCCCTGTTTCAGATTTGTTATTTAGACTGCCTCTGCCTCTGACCCTCCGACACTGATGTGGCAGCACAAAATTATGCTGTGTGGAATCCAGAGGAGTTTTAAGACATTTTCTCTGGCATCTGTCACTAAAAGCTAATCACCCAGCTATCGAAGGGGTGGAGGGTGCAGGCATGTGGGACCTTCCTGCCTGCTGCCCTCTACAGGAGGATCAATGAGACCTCTCACCACGGGGATCTTACCTTACATGGGTGAGGGTCCACTCCGTATGTCTCCAATGTCTGCGCTTTTCTTAAAAAGTTCATCTCTGATGTTGCTGGTGTCTGACCACTGGAATAAAGAAAATGAGATGATTTGAGGGCTTTCTGTTTCCATAGCTTCCCCTGAGGCAAATTATTAAGAAGTGCTTAGGCCCTGGCCAGTGTGGCTGAGTGGTCAGAGCGCTGGCAGTACACCAAAGGGTTGGGGGTTCAATTAGCAGTGAAGGGCACGTACCTGGGTTGCAGGTTTAACCTCGCCCTGGTAGGGGCCTGTTCAAGAGGCGACCAATTGATGTCTGTCTCTCACATCAATGCTTCTCTCTCTCTCTCCTCGCCTCCCTCCCACTCTGTCTAAAAATCAATGGAAAAAATGTCCTGGGCTGAGGATTAACAAAAAACAAACAGAAGTGCTCAGGATGTCTCACACCACAATTTTTCCAGAGTGCACTCCCTGCTCTGTTCTAGGACCAACTTTAGAGGGTCAAAAACTCAGATGTCTTCAGGGTTAGGCAGGCTACATAATGAATGACATGGGCTTAGTGTAATTAGTAGGGAGTGGTGGGGACTGTGGCAAACTGGGGAGTGCTACCCCTTCTAATGAGGGCAGCTGCTGCTCTGCTTCAAGATTATTGTCATGTGGGACTGCAAGGCCCAGCATTGCTAGATGTGATTTTTTAAAAAGAAGTCAGAGATACTGATTTTCATGTGGTATTTCATGATTTTAAATACTACAGGAGCAAACAAAACACATTTGCAGGCTAGCTACAGGCCATGGATTTCTCATCTGTGACCTGATGTAGGCTGAAATAGAAAGAAGGGGTCTGTATATCTTGCTGATACTGCCTAACCCTCTTCCTTTCCCAAGAGGGAACATGGGAGTGGAGGGTGCTGAGACGCAGCTGGAGACAGTGCTAAGCTTTCCAGACTCCACTAGAGCTGTCTGCCCACAGGGTGATGACTATGAAAAGAAAACAAGCAGCAAAAGGAAGAAACCAGCCCTGGCACCAAACCATATGAAGAAGGGGCCTTTAGCATCATCATTCCCCTCCTGGCTGCCTCTTTAGCAGGTGCATAGATGAGCTCAACACAGACCAATGGCAATATCACCATTGTCAGGCGCTCTCAGGGCCCAGAGCCCTGGCAAAGCAGATGTACTTCTACCCATGTGGGGTTGGCTTCTGTGTGAGGAAGAGTGGGCACTTTGTGAAGGGAAGGAAGACAAGCCACCTTCCATCCCGAGAGGCATCGTCAGTCAGTACCTATGTGCCAGCCTCGGTGCTGCCTGCTGTAAAGTATACCAAGATGTTTAGTGCACAGTCTGGGCCCTTGAGGAACTCATGTTAGAGTTGGAGAAAGGAAACACACATTTTTATAGTCTGAAGATGAAGCTGAACCTGTGTAAGTAGTACCTGTAAGCAGGCATTATGTTGACTGCAGACTTCTACGTCCACCCATGTGCTGAGACACAGGCAGGTGTTTGGAAAAGACTTGTGCAGCAGGCCAAGGGCTGGGCCCCTAGCTCCATTCACCTCTGGGCCCGTCAAAGCAGGCATCATTTCCTGGGGAATCTCCAACCTTCTACCAGGTTTCTGAAGGACTGGACCCACTGCTCTGACATTGAAAACCCTCCTGGCAGCGCCTCAGGGGGGGTGCTAGCACTTCCCTACTATCTTCTTTAAATGAACCCTGAGCCATTACACAGGTCCGTGTGCATTCCAACCTTTACCACCAGGGGTCGCTATTGCCTTAATAGAGTAATGAGACAAACCCTTAGGCAGGGGAAAGGCATTGGATTTGCACGGGGAGAGGGGTGGGAAGCGGTTAAGATTCCACCTTTGATAGGTGTCTCCATTCCTCTGGGAGGGTCGGGGACCAGTCCTGCCACACAAGGTGGCCAGGTGGTCTGTTTACAAAGGCTAAGGAGGCTGTGGGGACATATCTGTTGGTAATATCTTTGAGTGGAGGTGAAGATTTTTTTGTGTTTTTGTGTTTGTGTGTTTTGTGGGCCAGAGGATTAAGGTAGGAACTAGTTTGGACTTAATATTATTGTTAGAAATATCTTTTACCTCCTCTTGGGCATTTTTCTTCCCCAGAAAGGTAGTTAGACATTATTTTAGAGATTAAAAAAATTATAATGTATTGATATAACAGCATGTTTTATTTTACAACACTTTGCATATCACGTTTCCTTCATAGTTTATCAGTTTGGGGGATCTGGGCTCCAGCGTGCCACACAAAGTAGAGCCCAAACACCTGTGCTTTTTGTTTTTTACATCAGTCTTTGTAGAAAATCCTATTTCACATGGGTGAAAGGATGCATTCATGCTATTTGATGGAATTAGGAATATTCTGGGCGAACTAAGAATCTGAGGAGGACAGGCCTCCTGCTTCCAGCTACTTCCCCTTCCCTCTGTGCAAGGGTGTGGCTGAGGCAATGCTGAAGATACGGTTCCTGAACCAAGTGCTCCCAGGGCACCCACAGCATTTATGGGTCAGGCTGGCCTGCTGGAGTCCTGCCCGCTGACCAGGAGGCCCCTGTAACACTGTCTCAGACTGAGGCCAAAGGATTGCTCATTTTCACATTCCCACTGAACCCCTCTAATCTTTTTTCTCTCCTGCTGTTTCCTTTATGTTTTTCTTTTCCTCTTTGCCAGTTCATGCTTTTGTCCTCTGTCTCTTCATTTTTTTTGGTGAAGCAAATACCTCTGAGGCCAACCCGTCTGTTTTCCTTACTATACAATGTCTCTCTTGCTTTTAAGTCCAGCCTACACCACTCTTCCTGGAGAGTGAGCCCACAGGGGTGGGACTGTGCTGTCAGTGGGTCACTGGAAATGGTACATCCACTCAGAAGGCCAGGCTGTGGGGGAAACAGTGTCCTGGGCTGGAACTGAGTGTCACTCACCTGAGTTCTGTTCTGTGAATCTCAGCAATTTTCCTTTCCAGCTTCTCTGAATGTTTAGGAAAAAACTGGAACTTTGAGCTGTAGCCTTCAGGGTGTTTTCCTGGGTCATAATCTCCAATCTCCGCTTGTAAAAGGAAAGTAGAAGAAAACAATTGTGGGGATTGGCAGAGCAACAAAAGATTAACACACAGAGCAAAAGTCTGAGCATGCACCAAATTTGCAAAGCACAGCGGATCTTGAGCAAGGGGTGTTGGTGTTGGGGGTTGGGCAGAAGGCATGCCCCTTGGGAGCATGTCCACATTTGTTCTCCCAGATGTGCATACTGGGTTGGTGTCTAAGCAGAGAGATAGTAGAGCTGACCCTGTGTTCAAGAGTAAATTTGCAATGAAAGAGCAGAGGTCTACACCATGGCCCTCATCCATTCAGTTATGAGAAGAAGGCCTGGGAGCAACGCTCTTTGTAGCAACAGGACACTGTGAGCTTGATGAGGAAGACAGAACCTCTTGGGCCTGAGTCAGGTCAGAAATCTTGCTTTGAGGATTTTAGCAGGGACATAGCAAATTGATGAATGAGCCATGATCTAAACTATGAAGCCAACTCTCAGTCCAAATCAAATGAAATCAAGTGAATAAATTTGAATAAATATTCTTGAGGGCTGAGCAGGTACCAGGCCCCCTGGAGAGGACAGCAGAGCAGGGAATACTGGCTGTAACCAGAAAGTGCCATTGAGATCAGCAGCACCAGGTCCCAAGGCTGACTCCTCAGCTCCCTGCAGGGGGTCCATTGCTAAAGCTGGTAAGATCTCTGATCTTAGCGATCTTTGGGGGCAGGGGTAGAGGTGAGCCCATGGTGCTCTCCACAAGGTGTTCTGAGGTGGGAACCTAGCTTTCTCCATGGGAAGTACTTCACAGAAACATCATGGAGATGTGAAGAGGAAGGATGTTAAGAAGTTCTAGCTGCTTTGTGGTTGCCCTTTCTCCTTCCCTAGTGAGAACCACAACTAGTGTAGAGAGAAATCTGGAGGGATAAGTGAATATTAAGGGGAAGATATGCCCTCTGCTCACAGATGAATATTATGCTTTACAAATACTTGGGAATTTCTATTCTTAAGCAAGAGGCTAAAGGCATCCCTGGGTCTAAAGTCTGGAGTGACCTTGAGCCATGGAGTCATTTATTATGATTTTATTTAGAAGGCTCCAAATGGAAAACATCAATGTTGGACATCAATTTCCTTAAAGAAAAAAAAAATTAAATTTCAATATGGTTGTCAGGCTAAACTGAAGGAAAGACTAGAGTTTAAAATTTCACTTACATCAAACCAGGTTCTCTTTTAAAAATGAAAGGGGCCTCTTTGGGTACCTTGGGGTTGCCAAGTACCTTCCTGTTTAGGTGATTTTTAAAAATAGGAGTCTCAGAAGGCAAAGTTGTAATGGGCTGACTTTTACATTCTTAACACAGCTGTGATATTTCTCCTGCCAGAAGAATTTTAGTTTCTATTTGGCAAGGATTTTCCAGGTTCTCTTCATAAAGTAGCTTCCTGGCTTTCACAGATTTCCAATTAAAAGTTCAGATTCTTTGATGGAAACTTCATGATTTTAGTGCTATGGTCCAAAACAATCCAGTGACAGTCTTAGGCCTAAGGGCTAAAACAAGTCTAGGAAGTGGCACTTAGAAGTCCCTTGCATTTCACGAGAGGAGGAGGGATTATTTATGAAGAATGCTTACCTTTCCCACTGTTTTTGCGCAAAAAAACCCCAAAACAAAACCCAGTCTGGGCACCAGCTGGGTACAGACTCAACTCTACCTTATTAGCATGTTAGGAAATGTGTTTGTTACTTGGAAACATTTTCAACTCTGAGGGCTCTGAACAGAAAGGGCCCTGAAATAGGGACCAGAATTCCAAGATGCTTCATGTCTCTGAGATTCGCATGAAAGGAAAAGTGGATTCAGATGACTCTCCAGAGTCTCAGTAACTTCATCACCCACGGATGCAGGGACCCCAAACACAGTGAGAGAGACTTGAGGGGCTGGCACAAAGACCTTGGGTGCAGTGCAGGGTTGAGTGGCCAGAGCTTTCGGCATCTGGGGAGTCAAGGCAAAACCCTCTCATCGGACTCCGCTTCATGTTAGATATATCTGTGTCTATACAAGAAGTGTCATCTGTGGTAAGCGAAATAATGTAATCAGCAGTTAGCATGAAAAGCAAATTTATCCTGTCAAAAGTCATTACCTTGAAGGATATAAGCCGCTAACAAGGCGGCATCTGACGTTTTGCAGAGCAGGCGCCCATGGTAGAGATCCCTTTTGATCTGCAGGAAGACTAAATACCTGGAGAGAAAACACAGTGAAATATAAGGGATTCCTTTGATTGCTTTAAAGACAAAAACTCTGTCAGGACACTTTTACTACATTTAAAAATCTCAAAACATACCACAGAACAAATATATTCTCCATTTCCCTGAAGACTCTTTCTAGTACTTTGCCCTGAACTGATTTGAGGTTCAATTCAAAACAACCTGTCAGTTTTTTTCTGTAGGTCAAAACAGAAATGGCGCTTCCTGGTAAAAACATTGTCCCCCCAGCGCTGGGCTTTGGGAGGAGCCGGCCCAGATCGATTCAGCACCAAAAAAGAAACCTATGTTGGAAGGGAGGGCCCGACTGGGCCTCTCTCCGCCTTGGACTCCGGCTGATGTTCCTTCCTAAGAGGCAGACGGTGGTGGAGGGAACGAGCCCAGGGAGGAGCTCTGCCTTGCCTTGTCTGGAGAATCTGTCCGTCTGTGGAACAGCCTTCAGTCACTGGCAGAGATCAGCCAGGCATCTCGAAATTTGAATAAGGTGTGAGAAGAGGCCGGGTGAAGGAAGCACGGAAACCTGTGGCTAGCATTTCTTCAGGTACAGGAAGCTTTCACCTCAGGTGGAGACAGAATATCAAGAGCAAGGGCCAGTAGCAACTGGTGTGTACTGAATGCTCCGTCTGCCAGCCCAAGGGCTCTGCACTTTACATGCAGCATCTCGTCTAATTCTCACTCAACACTTTGAGATAGGTGCTACATTATGTTTCTTTTTAAGATAAAGAAACTGAAGCTCAAATGATTTCACCAGGGTACACAACTGGTAAGGGGCAGAGCCAGGATTCAAATTCAGGACAGTTAGACTCCTGAGGCTGGCTCTTCATCACTGCTACACTGCCCTCCTGGCACTATCACTGCTTCATAGCTCACAAGCAGTCGGTGGACCCTGTCACAGTGGAATGGAATTGCTGACTTTCCACTTTGAAAATGTCAGCCCAGGAGTGTGGTCTCCAATGTTCATAACCTCGCTGGTACCCTTGGAAGAGCAAAAGCCAGGGGTAGCAAACAGGTGAGTCACCTACCACAGTGGCTCCCTGGACGGGGGGACATCTGTGGTGGTTTAAAAATATGTCCATAAATTCTTTGACACTCATCCCCAGAGGCAGAGCGTAATCCCCTCCCTGTGAGTGTGGGCTGGTCTTAGTGACTTGCTCCTAACAAACAGAGTAGAGCAGAGGGTAGAGTCTGACCTTCGAGACCAGGTCACAGGGCCATTGCACCTTCCCCCTTTTCTCTCTTCCCCTTGGATCTTTCATCCTGCTTGAGGGCACTCAAGCACCACTTTAGAAGGTCCATGCGGTGAGGAGCCGAGGTCTTTTGTCAACAGCCAGCTAGGAACTGACACTTTCTGCCAACAGCCACATGAGTACACCGTCTTGGACATGAATCCTCCAGTCAAGCCTTCAGATGCCTGCAGTCCCCTGAGAGACTCTGAGCCAGAACCCCCCAGCTAAGCTGCTCGGAGCTCCTGACTTACAGAAACTGAGAGATGGTACATGTTTGTTAGCTTAAGTTTTGTGGTATTTTGTTGGACAGCCATAGATAACTGCAGCACCCCTAGAGGAGTAATGGACATGTAGTAATATTCCCTTAAATTCTATCGAAAAAGACATTGGGTCCTCCTTAGATAACCAGAAGTTTCCACTGCTTCTGTTTTCAGGCTGAAGAATGAAACAGGATTCCAGGCTCACTTGTCATGTGAAAATGCTTGAGAAAGAGGACCACTGACAGTGCAACTCTGGGGTGGGGAGGGGTGCCAGCAGCTGACTGAGAACCTTGGGCTGGGTGATTCCAGTAATTAACAAACAGAAATCAAGGAGCAAGCAAACCTCTTCTCTCCTAAGGTCTTGCTACTCCTCCTCCAAGTGTGGCCCCCATAGCAGCAGCATCTGGGAGCTTGTTGGAAATGGGGAATATGAGGCCCATCCTAGACCTACTGAATCATTTTAACAAGATCCCTAGGTGATTTGTATATAGATTAAGCATAAGCATCCTTCTAACCACATCGGGATGGACTTCCCTCCTCAAAACAAAGGGAAAGTGGGTGTTACAGTCTGGAAGTTCATAAGAGCTCCCCTCCTCACCTCAGTCACCATCACCTATCCCACTCTGACCCAATGTTTGCCAAGAAAAGCTGAAGGAAAAAGGAACCACGCAGAGTGAAAAATTAAGACGGATCTACCAAATCCAACTTGTCTTCACTGCTTCCCACAGCGAAATGCCACCCGGTGTGTGGGAGAGGGAGAGGAAGAGAGGAAGGGAACGGAGGGGGAGGGGAAAAGGCTTCTCTGCCTCTCACTGTTCCAACTCCCACCTTCCACAGGCATTGGTGGGATGTGGAAGCAAACCTTTTGCCCCTTGCTCACTGATCTCTCCTCTCACACCTCCCTCCTTATCTGTGTTCAGAATTCAGGGACAGCACATACTGGATTGAAGATGTATCAAAGGGGCAGTAAGGCTCTGGAAAGTGATTCTCAATGTGGTGGTTAAGACAACATTCCCAGGGGAGCATGTGAGAATCTATATGTGTATGAGTGCTCCTGGGTTTGAAAAAGCCCCTCTAGAGCCCTCTTTGCCTTCCTCACACTGAGAACCACTTGTCTTTAACAGGCATCTTTATTGATGGATGCTTGACAGGGGCCTCATGTGAGCTGGAAAGGAAACAGGCTTTCCACTGTGGGGCGGGGTTTCTTCAGACTTTTGGAGGTAGGACAGCTACAGGGAGGTCAAGGGTAAGGCCATGGGAACATAGGCAATGGTACAGCAACTGGAAGAAGAGCGAGAAGGAAGGGCAAGTCAACATCCTAAAGAAACAAGCCACAGTTTTTAGAGGACAAGAAGAGTTGAGCTCATGAAAGAATGAACTGGCGGCTTCAAGGTAGAGACTTGCACTAGGGTCCCCCTTCCTCTTCTGCTACAGTGCCTTCCATCAAACTTCATGTTTTGTTCATTCAAGGAGGCACCAATGACTTGGTGGTGTTTGTCATGAAAATATATCCCACATGATTCATAGCATCCTTAGGCCTACTCTCAAGAGACCCTGGCATGTTCTCTCCTGCCACACAGGGGCCTAAGGAAGACTATCGTGTTTCCAGAGGCACTGCCACCAGGGCCATTGTGTTGCCAGGCAAGGGATCAGCTTACTGGGGCCACCCAGCCCAGCCAGCTCCTGATGAGCAGACTAGTTGGGTAGCCCAATTCCAGAACCTCAGAATGGGAGTTACTAGAGCCCAATTCTCTCTTTTGTAGCTGAGGAAATAGAAGTCCAGAGATGTAGAGTGACTTGTCTGAGGAGACACAGTGACCAGAATCAAGAAGGCCTCCTGACTCAGGGCCCAGTGCTGCTTCTACACCTCTGGTAATTCAGTTAATTATCAGGTTAGAGCGAGGGGGCTCCTAAATGAAGTCAGGAGAACTCTGTCATCAGAAAGAAATCCTCATTGGAACCAAACAAGAAATTAGCTTTAGACCAGACTGAAGACGAGCTTGTTCCTTTAGGACACTTTTTTTTGGGGTAAACTTTGCCTATTTCCTTTTGGCTGCAGGAGGCCTTACCTCGCCTCCATTTTTTTTTTTTTTAAATTGATCTTAGAGAGAGGAAGGGAGGGGGAGAGAGAAACGTCAGTGTGAGAGAGAAACACTGATTGGTTGCCTCCTGTATGCACCCCAACTGGGGATGGAACCCACAGCCTGGGTATGTGCCCTGACTAGGAATCAAACCTGCCACCTTTGATGGACAGGACGATGCTCCAACCAGCTGAGCCACACTGGTCGGGTACCTCACCTCCATTTTTAATGCCTGTGTTGTCCTATATTGATGGGGGAATGAATAAGTGAAAGCCTAAAAGACGAACAAGGAAAACCTGAGATTTTCTGTAACATGTACATCTCTTCAAGGTACTGGCTTTGGCATATACTTTCTAATACCAAAGGGTGGGGATGAATCCACAGATATTTCCAGAATTAAAGGTTCTGAACCTTGGAAAGCACTGGAGGCTCCTGAAGAGTTCCTTCCAGAAGATCCTTTGGCCCCACCTTTCCTTCATTGCCTCTGTCTTCCTCTATTTTCCAACATCCTTTTTCCTAAGTAAAATCATGCTTAGTATGTCTTCCTCTCCCATACTAGACTGCAAGCTCCTTGGAGTCAGAGACACGTTTTATTTACTTTTAATATTCTAGAGGGCCCATCTACCCTGTGCCTAGCTCGCCTGCTCACCCCCCTCCCAGGGCCGTCCAGCCTTCTAGTTCTCAGCACTTACACGTGTAGGCAGCGCACAGGCGCTGGGAGTCCAGCAGGGACATTCCAGTGGGAGAAAGAGATGACAAATAACAAAACAATACTAATGATTTACTGAGTGCATGCTGCGTGCTACACATTGTACTGTTTAACACACACGCCCTCTCTTTTTAATTCTCACTCGAGTACATGCTTTTATTGATTTGAGAGAGAGGAAGGGAGAGGGAGAGAGAAACATCAATGTGAGTATAACACTGATCGGTTGCCTCCCACATGCGTCCCGACTGGGTATCAAACCCACAACCTGGGTATGTGCCCTAACCAGGAATTGAGCCCGCGGCCTTTTGGTGTATGGGGTGATGCTCCAACCAACAGAGCCACGCTGGCCAAGGCCACACATGCTCTCATTTAATTCTCACAACAATGAGGTGACTATGGGGTGACTACTGGTTTTTAATCCCTGTCTCACGGGTGAGGACACTGAATGATCAGAGATATTGTTGCTTGCCTTGTCACGTAGCTAGGTAAAGAAAAACCTGGGATTTGAACCCAGGGTTTTTGGAGCACTCCCCCCTTTTTAAAAATCCTCACGAGAGTATATTTTTTCCATTGCTTTTCAGAGAGGGTGGAAGGGAGGGAGGGGGAAAGAGAGGGAGGGAGAGAGAGAAAGGGAGGGAGAAGGGAGAGAGAGAAACATTGATGTGAGAGACACATTGATTGGCTGCCTCCTGCACAGGCCTTGACCAGGGCCGGGGATTGAGCCTACAACCAAGGTACATGCCCTTGGGCCAACGCTCTAACCACTGAGCCAAACAGGCTAGAGCTTTGAATTCTTTTTGATTCCTTAACCCAGGGTCAGCAGACTATAGCTTGCTGCCATAGTTTCCAATGAAATAAAATACAATTTTATTAGAACACAGACAAGCTTGTTTCTTTGTATACTGTGTCCATAGCTGCTTTTGCTCTACAATGGCAGAGATGAGTAGTTGTGACAGAGACCACATGGCCACAAAGCCTAAAATACTTACTATCTGGCCTTTTATAGACAAAGTTTGCCAACCAATCTTAGCCTAAGCTGGGCTCAAGTGATATTCACTGAAGGAATAAATAACCTGAAAACCCCATTCATTCATGCATATATTTGCTCATTCTATTAACATTTTTTTTGGAGCACCTGCTCAAACTTGTGTCATGCAGTTTGCTTCCTTAGAAGGTGGGGCCCCCTTTGTACTCAGTTTCCTTCTATTACTCGATCTTTCCAAAGAGTTCATACACCTGCAGTCCCTGTTAAAAGCTAAATCTGGTGCCTAATCCCCATTTTCTCTGCCTTGTCTCCAGCTCAGACAAGAAAATCTATTTATTACTTTAAAAAATGACAAAAGAGATTAATCAGGATTTGGCCACTAAATTTATCATCTGGGAAGAGTCCAGGAGATAAAATGAAGCACAGTTCTTTATTCCCTACTTCATCCCCTCCTCTCAGCCTGGCTTTATGGGAATAGCTGAGACGGTGGTGAAATTTAGGACCAATATTGCTAGGAAAAAACACACTGACAGCTAAATTAGTTTGGCAGGAAAGTGGTGTGGAGGGCTCTAAGCCAGGAATGAATTATGGGTATTGAGTAAGGCTGGGGCAGGGACCTGCTCTTTTAAGATCAGCAGGGATGTGGAGGAGAAAGACGCAGCTAATTCTAAGGCCTCTAACGAATGCCTCGGGGAGGGGGGGCAGGCACCCTGTGACTCACAGTCCTGACAACGCTTGGAAATTGCATTCTAGGGACGAAAAGCTGGAGAGATGGAGAGAGGAGGAGAGCAGTTGAGGATGGTCAGCACAAATGCATGCAGATGGGGAGGAGCTCACACACTTGTCAGTGTCCTTGGAGTCTGCTGACTTGCTGAGAGGCCTGGCATGTTCCCCCTGCTGTGCTGACCAGGACTTGGGTGATTACCCAAGATGGCTTTCTCTCTGACTTCTCAAAAGTTCGCTGCTGAAGTGTTAGGACTCTTGCTGGCAGGGAAAGGGGACAGAACAGGTGAGGGGATGATCAGCAAAGAAGTGTCTTTCACATAAACAAAGAAAAGCCAGAGCTAGCTGTACTTGGGCCCCATAAGCAGAGCCCTTAGGGTCCGTGGACCATGTAACCAATCTGGCAGTAAACAGGCATCGAGCTTCTGCTTGGTGAGAGGCTCATGGGTGGAGCATGTATTAAGAAGTACAAGACCGTGTATAGTGTTAATCCTCTCAACAATTCTATGAGGTAGCTATCACTATCCTCATTTTATAAAGGAGGAATCTGAAGGTCAGAGAGGTTAAATATCTTATGTCCAAGGCCACATAATTAAGAAGTGACAAATAGGATCTGAGCTCTCGGGTCTATGCTGCTTCTTGGGTAGTTGGGTCTGTACATTAATATTAGGCAGTGACATTTGATTTAGAAAAGTGTGTTAAGAGCTCCTCCTAAGGGCCAAGAGCACCATATATTTTTGTCCTTTAATCAAATCAGAAAGCCATGTGCCTGTGGTGCTCTCACTGGGTTGTATCAACCAATCCCTCTTGTCCCACTGTCGGTGGGTGAGGTGCAGACCAGGCGATCCTGATGTGTGCTGTTAAGAGGCGAGGTGCCAGGTTCTCAGCAAAGATGTGTTAGATTTGCTCTGACATGTGGACAGGAGCATGGACTTCTGGGTGTGGCCTGGCATCATCACCTCTTTCAACAGAAAGACAGAGGGAGAGAGAGTGGGAGAGGAAGAAGAAGGGAGGGGAGAGGAGAGATGTGCTCAGAGCTAAAGCAAACACTCTAGAGATAATGAGCAAGGCAGGCTAGTGCTTTGCCAAAACTCCTCTCTGTTTAAGCTGTTAAACATAGTAGTTCTACCTTCACTGTCCTGCCTGACTCTACATGATTGCTTATTAATATGGATGAGCTTGGTTTTTAGAAGCAAAGTGGGGAGCCAGATCCACTTCCATGCGGATGAGCAGAGCCTGTAGCTTCTATGTCCAGTAAGGAGCATGAGGTTTGGTTCCAACTACACCCCTCCTCGCCCTCCGTGTTTCAAAGGAGGTGGGTGCACAGCACTCCGTGCACCCGGAGCAGACAGCCGCCCTGATCTGACCAGGTCAGGGTGCCGCACCCTCCACCAGGTCCGTGTGAAGGAGCCACTTTCTCTCCCTGTCCCACCTCTGTGCTTCCTTTGCACTCCTTGTTCCTGTTTCTCGCCCTCTTCTCTCCCCATTTCCTCATTTTCCTTCTCCAAGAAACTTCTGATCCTTTTACCGGATGTAAAGGTCGTGGCGCGCTCTTCAAAACATGAAGTGAAAATAATTCCACATCCTTCCTTTCCTTCCCTCCTCTTTCCTTTTGTTTTGGATTTTCTCAAGCAGGGCAGGATCTAGAAGTAAATCTCGAAGCCTTATAGGACCAACAGTCCATATGACTGGTACCGGCCTCACTCCAGTCTTTGCTGTCTCGAAGCTTTTAGGGAGGGAGGGAGCTGGCAGAGCTGTTTCTTCCTCGGCTCCAGGATTCCCTGGCGTGACCGCTTCACCTGGGGCCCCACCCTCCACAAGGTAACATCAAGGTTTTGCTTATGTCAACATTAGATCTTTCTAGTATAAAAATTAAGGATGCCTGTTACATAGACTTCCTAAATCTCCGCGGCAATACTTTTAGAGTGAATTTGGCTCTGATACACAAAACCCTGGAGAAGCTGGAAGCTCCTATTCACTGACCCTCTTACAGGATGGCTGTGGGCACAGAGGTTCTGTCTCATCCTCAAGAGGTGCCGGGAGAGATCGGCTCTGTTCCCTACAGCCGTCTGCTGTCTGCAGAACACAGTGCCCACAATGAGAGTTCATCATGGACCTGATCCATCAGCACACTGGCATTCACCCACTTGATTTTAAACCCTCAGTATTTCCCAGCTGGTTCTTCAGTGTCATGCTTTGGCATTTCCCAAGTACGTTAGGTCACTGGAGTCTATTTTAATCTCCCCCCAAAACAGCCAGAAAACTCTCCCCAAAACATCCACTGTGGCCACATCACAGGTAAAAGAAAAACATGCATTTGATTCATTAGTTACTCCAGCTCCCTCTGAGGAGCACCAGTTCAGGATGCAGTGTTCACACTTCCTGAAGGAACAAGCTCCTTCTGTTCCAATTCTACTGACGGGTGAGGAAGGAAAGCATGTGGGAATGAAATACAGAAGTAAAGTTATATTTAGGAAGAATTCTTTGTCTCTAAGAGTTAGGAGCTTCCAAACTAGAGGATCTGAGGGGTTATAGTCCCTCTCTCCTGTCCTCCCCAGTAGGTCTTAGTGGCTGAGGGAGGTATGTCTAGTCTCACCTGGTTATTTCTTCCTTTAGGGCAGCAGGGTCTGCAGGGTAAAACTTCACACGGAAACACATGGTGAATGGAGGCTGGGCTGCAGAGAAGAAGAGTAGCCCATCAGGGAAGATCCTCTGGCCCAGAGATGACTGGGCTCCCCTCCCCACCAGGATGCATGGGCCTCTGAACCCTCAGAAGAAAATCCTCGGACATTTAGGGCAACGTATACTCAGAACAGTGGAAAATTACCAAGACTCATTGCAAGTGGGAGGTTTCACCCCACCCTCCCCAGGGACAGGGCTTGAGTCTTTTCTTAGAGAATACTTACATCTCAACTGCTTCACCACGGACTTCGTAAACTCCAACCAATGCTGAAACAGAGAACGCAGAACAAGAAAACCCTAATGAGAAGCAGTGTCAAATATAACTTGTTTAACCCAATTTAAATAACCAGACAGATTGTAGCCCAGGGTGAAAGCAGCCCCAAAGCTTGTGATATGTAGGCTTGGAGAGTAGAGAGTGATAGGATTTTCTGAAAAGTTCCCCAGGGAACCAGCTGTGAAGGGGGAAAGAGTTCCAGCTTCAGATGCCATTTCTGGGCTTCCCTGGCAAGGCCACCTCTCACCGTAGGGTGCCAACATTCTGAGCCATGTTTCTGGCGTACCAGCAGGCACAAGTAAATGTACGCGTGTGTGATGGGGGCTGAGCCCCACCTGGCTTAAGTAGGGAAATACTGACTTTAATGGGTTGTATGTGTTTGTGCTACACGCCAACATTTTCTTTGGCAGGGGGACAGAGGCTATTGGTAGCAGCTCTAGAAAGTACTGACAGATAGGATTTCATGAATGGTGAGAAGGCAGGGATGGCTGGTGTATCTTCCATCTCTGTTTGAGTAACACAGATTGCCAAACCCTGTGTGACAGATACGCGCTCAGGATTCCTTAGCATCCAGGGATGTTTAAAGTCTGTCTCACAAGATAACTAACCACAGCCGATGTGTAGGATCGTATTCTGTGTCCCTTGGAATTTCATGGAGGGAGGACATAGTAGCAATACATTTCCCCCATGGTACTTATGTTTGGGAAAGGAAGAAATGAGACCATTCTATATCTGTTTGCCATTTCTACATGGATGCTTCATAAATGCATTATTGATGTTTGTAGCTTTTATGCTAATCAGCAACCTTGACAATTTGCAGAGAGCTAGAACTTCTTATTTGGGTTTGGTTATCTGGAAGTAGCTTAAAACCATTAGTCATGAGCTCTGTGAGGGCAGAAAACTATCTTGTTTGCACTGTATTGCCCGTGCCCAGCACCGTGTTCAGTATGCAACTATCGAAGGGATGAACGAACCAGGCCCTCACCTCCCTCTTTTCTGGCTACTTCCATTTAGTGTAACATCTTGGCAGAGTCCTCCCTTTGCAGGAAAGCAGCCAGGGCCACGCAGACAGCATTCTGGCCACCTCGATTCTCAGCTCTCACCTTCTGGGCTGGGCTGTGGGTCATGCAGTTAATGGACCCACTAAGAGCCAGTTCTCTCGTCAGCTCCACATGGATAATCTGGGCTGACATTCTGCTCTCTTGCTTCCTCTGATCTGAGTTCCCACGAGGCTAGCAACTCATTATAGCCACTCAATGTGGTTAAGAGGTCCTTCTCACATTACACGGCCCACCGCGGCTTGGCTTCACAGGGAGCAAAGGCAAGAGATGAAATTGCATGGAAACAACTGGGTTTGCAGGCCGTGCAGGTGCAGGTAGAGGAGGCCCATCTGTTCAGAGTACACTAGAACTTCGCACAGGGAGAACTCGCAAGTGTCTGGGACTCAGTAAACAGGACACCCCTAGACATTCCGGTGACAGACTAAAGTAAATAAAGTTAGAAACTATGAGGAATGACTCATGAGATCCTTTATCAGCAGAAGCGAGATGGAGGTGAAGATACAGAGGCTATTCCCCTTGGCAAGAAGCTGGCTAGAGGACTTTGGCTTGTCCTGGAGTGGGAGATGAAGAAAGGAGTGAGGCTGGAGGAGGTCAGGAGCGGGTGGGAAGGGAGTAGAAAGTGGTCACAGCTTGTCCAAGAGATTTTAAGGGTCTGGAAGAGAAATCTTGAAAGGATGCCAAGAATATGGTGATGGCCAGAGTTACCTTTTGTGCCTGCCTGGCTGAATCTGGGTCCTAGAGTCACTAGGAAACTGATAACATGGGTTTGAGGAAGAGTGGTGAGGAGGAGATGACTCAGAGGGGGGGAGTTTGTTCCTGTCTTTGGGCAATGGGCCAATGTGGCAGAATATTCAGGCTCTAGAGGCTTGAAAGGGTATCCCCACCTTGAAAGGAGAAGCTGAGCCAGGAACGAGGGAGAGGGTGACATGAGGGCAGCTCCTCCGAGAGGGATCAGGAGAGTTCCCAGACCCCACGGAGACCCCTGCAGAGCAGCAGTGAGGAGATGGATGTGAGTGCTGGGTGCAGACCGCCTGGTGCCCCAGGAGGGGAGGTTTATTTTAAAGCCTCACACTCTGGGGAGCTGGGATCCTACCTCCTCCATCTGTACCATGAATCAGTAGATCTAGGATGACAATTCTTTACAGGTCCATTTCCCCACAGCTCTCAAGGACCCTCTTGAGCCTCCCTGCTCTCCTTAACCCCTCAATAAAGACGAAGAATCACAAAAACAGAGGCCCTCAGGTATGAATTCAACATGGGACCTTAGAAACCACACAGGCTCTCGGTAAGACAGGTCTGAAGTGGAGACAGGCTTTGCCACCTGCCTTGGGCCAGTTACTGAACCTGTTTGAGATTTTATTTACTAATCTGGAGATGGATAATATAATTTGTGGCAAGAATTAAATAGCATATGTGAAGCTCACAGTTTAGTGCCTGATACAACTCTGTGTTCAATAGTCATCAGTTAACTTTGTGCTCAGTGCAGAGCCTGGCCCACGGTAGCTACTCCATGAAAGTTTATTTCTCTTTTCCCCATTTCCTTACCTTTCTCTGTCTCCTTCTGCCTTTAATCCTCACCACCTCCACACGCTCTCTTACTCTCAAACTTCAAAAGAATAAGCAGGACACACTGGGCCCTTTCTTCTTCAGATGCTGCTCTCTTTGGGAGATGCAGACCTCAGGGTAACTGGCCTTCCTCCTCAAGGAGAGGCAGCTCAGGCCGAAAGAATGAACAAATCAGCAACAAAGGACCCCTTTGTAGAAACAGTCCATCAGCATACAGTGAATGGACACTGACAGGGCATGAGGACACGTAGCTGCTTGGTGTCGTGGCACTTTCTGGAGACTTATACTGAGGCCCAGAGCTAAGGACAGTAATTATGTCAAGACAGTGGAGCCTTTGTAGGGTGAGGGGCTGACCTCAATGTACTTTCCAAACACTGGTGATGCTCAAAATTCTGCTGAGCCAGGAGAAATGAAACATGTCAGCAAAGTGGGACAGGGCTTGTCAGAGTAAAGGGATCATTCTGATTCTTTTTGAAAGTTCATGTGTTTAGCATAAAACCCTAAATGGGACCTGGAGACACAATGGTTCAGAGCAGCGATTTTCAACCCGTGTGCTGCAAGAATTTTTAAAACCTGCAATACTTGACCATTTAATCAGGGGCACTGACCTCTTTTCCTTTAGATTGTCAAATAAAAAAATGACAACAGCCAACACAACAATAGCAGTTCCGTGTGAATGAATCAAAATTATACATAATTTTTTTTTGTCAGAGTAGCTAAAAATATATTTTTTGGTGTGCCACGGAATTTTAGTAATTAGTTTCTGTGTGCCATGAGATGAAAAAGGTTGAAAATCTCTGGCTCAGAGCATCAAAGAACAAAACAGCACCTGACGCGCATGGTGAGGGGAGCACCCATTCATTCGTTTCCTGTGGCCCTGGCCACTGCCGGGAGGCTGCACCCTCCGGGGCTCCCTCCAAGGTGCCCTAGTGGCGAAAGAGATGAAGCCCATGCGTGCAGCTGTGAAGAAATTTAGTGGACCCATGAAAGGGGGCCCCCTAGGATTCATGGTGATCATGTTTTTGGAGGGTAGTAGACAAGACTGGGTGGTGGGCAGGGGTGAAGGGAAGGGAGACGCTGAGGCCCTAATGCTTCTGTATACTGCCCCACTTTGGTGGGGATGCCAGAGAGTACATCCCCACAGAGAGCAAAGGGCTGATGGACAGCATTGCAAAAACTGCAGGTGTTTGCTAGTGGGCCACCTGGGCAAGCGGAGGGGGGAATATGGCACCACTAGCCATAAACTCACCCACTCATCACTCCTTCAGCAAATACCTACTAAATACCCACTATATTCCAGGCCCTGTGCTACCTCCACGGGATACAGTCATGAATAAGATAGTGTGTATGCCCTCACGGGACTCACATTTACAGGCAATCGCAGCCTGGTGGGCTGAGGGCCATGACAAGGGCAATACAGGGCACATGGGGCACACAGGAGGGCCCCTTATTCAGAGTGGGGGCTGGGGAAGACTTCTGGAAGAAGCAAAAGTCTAAGCTAAGACCTTCTGTGTGAGAAGGCATTAGCCAGAAGAGTGTAGAGTGTGGAGAAGTGAGGAAGAGTGTAGAGTGTGGAGAAGAGATATTCCAGGCAGGGGGAACTGTGTAGGTGAAGGCTCTAGAGAGAGAGAGAAGGATGACATGTCTGGAAGCCATGGAACAGTCTGGCTGGGCCACAGCAAGAAGGAGAAAGGTCAGGGGAGGTGAAGCTGGAGAGGTGAGCAGGGGTCTGGGGATAGCGGACTTGTTCCTCTACCCGTCAGGAATGTCACAGCCCTTGTCAGTGCCCTTTATCTGTAGAGCCGCCCATACTGCGTAGAGCAGAAAAGAATTGCAGGATTTGCAAGGCCCTGAAAGGCCCGTGTCAGTTCGGCTCTCTTTGCCCTGCTCAGATTGGGTGTTGTGGCGCCTCAGGTGAGGCCCTTCCTAACCAGAACAGTGTGGCTCAGCCCATTTACTAGAAAGAGGGTAGGAGAGGGTCAGCCTGTGACCTGGGCTCTGAGACCACACCACCAGCCTGGCTGCTCTGCCTCCGACGGGGAAACTGGGCAAATCACGTCAGCTCTCCAGGCTGCATTTCAGCATCTGTAAAACGATGAGCACACTGGGTGAACTTTGCTGAGGTATCTTCCAGGTCTCATGATACAACTTAAAGAGATGACGCCCAACCTCAGGGTCTGGTTGGTCCCTGGCTCCTGAGGCTAAACTTTGAAGACGGGTGGTAGGCTTACTGGCCAAACTTCTCCTTCATTTGTGCTTTGAATATTGACTTACCCGCTGCTTATCTGGGTCCACAAAGCGGATCCCAAAATAGTCTTTCTCAAGTAGGTTCAGGTGGTGGCAAAGAAGGTCAAACAGGTACTGGCCTTTGGCATCTCTCTGCAAAGAAAGAAAGCTCCCTTGAGAAACGAGAGGGCTTCTTCAGTGGAATTTCGTGTTGATGGTCATTAAAAATCATTCGTAACCACTGCATGAGGATATGAAAGGGGCACCTATCCATAACTATGTCCTCTATTTGTGAGGCATTAGATATTCTCTGGAATTCTGAGGCTTTAGCACCTGAAAGGAGCCCAAGAACCTTTCCTTCCCTGTGCCTCAGTTCCCCTCCCCAGGTTTTTCTGTACCTTTATATTACATTATAGGCAAGTCTCTATACATATACATCTCCTCTTTTAAAAGTACATTGGCAGCATACTGTTTCTTGGGATTTTTCCCCATTTAGGGTATTTTGCAAATCCTTCTGTAGCAGTATGGATGGATGAGCCTCACAGTTTTTAACTGCTGCATTACCACCAGAGTAAACCTAAATTTCTTCACCCAGCTCCACATGGATGGGATTTGATTCTGATCTATTACAAACAAGGTGGCAGTGAGTCCACAGTGATCTTTAATTACATCACCACTCTTGCTTTACACAATCAGTGGCTCCCCATTGCTCTCAGGATAAAATCCAAATTCTGATCACAGCCTCCAAGGCCGAACACTACCTGGCTCCTGCCCCTTCTTTGAACTCACCCCAAATCACTCTCCTCACTGCTCTTTGGCATGGCCTCTGTTTCTGAATGCTCCGAGGATTTTCTGCCTCTGCATCTTCATACTCCCTCTACCTGGCACACTCTTCCTCCAGCTCTTCTTACGGCCACTCCTGCCCTTGAGGTTTCTGCTTAAATGTCCTCTCTGCAGAGGGGTCCTCCCTACAGAATAGCTCCTCCCAGCTACTTTCTATCTCATTTATCCTGTTTATTTCCTTCATGGCACTGACAGTAATTTGTAATTATCCTGTTCATTTGTTTACTTATTTGTTTGTCTGCTCCCTTTCTAGGCTATAATTTTCTTAAGGGCAGGAGCCCTCCCCCAGAACGTAGCTCAGGGCCTGGCATATGGCAAGTAGGTCCTCAATAATTATTTGTTGAATAAACGAATGATTAAATGAATAGGAGGTAGGGGGTTAGCTAAAAGTTTTCACAAAATGTGAGGAAATTAGGCAATTTCTAAACCTATAACCGTCTCCTTCAGGGACCTGCCTGGGTATCTGGGATGAGCTGGGAGGAGAATGACTTGCAGGAAACTGTCAAGACATCTGGAGCTCTGCAAGGCACTGATCCTTGGGCCTGTCCCCAGTGGTCTCCGCAGCGGAGATCATCATCTCTAGTGGCTGAGCCTAATTCTGCATTCAAATCGAGGTTGTCTTATAAGATCCAAAGCATCTCACCTGGGCCAAGGCCATGGGTAATTACAGAAGGGCCTGGCCCTGCTCCATGAAAGGTTGACACCTAACCTCTTCCCCTTCTGCTGGCTCGCCCTATACTATCCAAGGAGAACTAGGGCAGGATATCACACCTCTCAGCAAATATCCTAAGCAGCTTATTCTTGAAGGGTTGGGAGGATGAGTGAGTGGGTGGACAGCTCAACTGAGGAAGGTGGTGCCATGTAGGCACCCCCCTCTTTGGCTGGCCCCACGCTCCCTCTCACAACATAATCCTGAGGTTGTGGGCCCAATCTCCTCCCACCTTTGTTCTCCCACCAGAAAGAGCTACTTTCAGGACAGAGACTTGCTAGGAGTCACCCTGAGACTTCTAGGTGGTGGGCCACAAACCAGGTCTTTCAAAGGTTTCCATCAACAGCTGTCATTTTGGGCAGGGGCTGCCAACTATTTCCTTACTGATGCCCCAGCGTGTGGGAAGAGCTTAAACTCATTGTTAAGGTTCTCCTGGGAGCAGGGGAGCTATGTTGAACTCTACCTCAAGTGGCATGTCCACCCCCCCCCCCCC